GAGTTGTTGCTTTTGCCTGGTACCCTTCATGCATTTAAACACAGGTTACCATGGAATGTTAATGGCAGTTGCTCAAATTTCCCACTGTCAAGGGAGGGCGCTAGAAATGAACACTCAATTTGAAGTTTTTGGCAATTACCAAACAACCTGATATAAAAAAATTAAATTTAGTCTACTTTAAAATGAAATATATACTAATCTATTTGTTTTGGATTATATGTAATTAATTCACCTTTTTAACTTTTTTTTTGGGTAAGATCACCGATGTGTTTTATTTTGGTTACTTTAGTAGTACGGACGGAACACACAGGGTTGTCGCCTCGAGAAACTTCATCTGTTGAAGACAGGTATTTCTTGACAGGTATTTCTTGTATCTGATCGTGAAGTGAAGACGAAGATCAAACAGAATTGCCATTTTAATATCTGCTTCAATCCTCCTGTCCAACATTCTTTCTCCCGTCTATGCCGCCGCTTCTTCCAACATGGCTGTTTTTGTTTTCCTGTATATTTGGTTTTTCAGCCCAAATATCTAACCTAGTTTTAAAGAAAGAAAATAAGAGCCTATCAGCGCCTCAAGATACACTGATCTTAAGTTACTGCCCGGCTGGTCTAACCTAGGTTGGTCTAACCTATGTGTGTCTGTTGGTACCCCAAACATTTCCGTGCACGTAGCAATTCCCGAAACGATTCCGTCACGGACTTCAAAACAACTCACACTTTGTGTTTCTTTTATAAGATAGTATTTTCCCGAGTCTTCTAAATTGTTTACTTCAAACAAGAAAGGTCAAAGTTTGGCTCCGTAACATTAATTTAACAGCCGTGAAACAAAATCCGATGCTGGCTTTGTATCCTTATGTCCAGCGGGATTATGTTGCAATTACAAAATTTACAATTTACGTTTACAATTACAATTTACATACACCAGCGCAGCAAAATTTGGTTGTATCTAGTGTATCCTGTCTTCTGTAAAGTGTTTTTCTTAATTTTGCCTACTTTTTTCACTACCCGGAACAGTTTCGTGAAACAGGCATTACTCTAACCCTTGTACCGCGTGGACTAGATTGTTAGGGATAAAGAACTGATTCCATTATCAACAAAATGTAAACGATAATTCACTCACAAAACTTTGATTTTGGTGATTGGAACATTTGATTTGAGACGGACGACTCGGAACTTTCAACTGAAACGTTCAAGTGTCATTACTGATGTGAATCCTGTGAAACAGACTCCATCCATTAATTGTTTAAAATTGTAAATGACCGAAAATCATTACAAAGATTATTCTAACGACGCCAAAAAAGACAATCAAGGTTACACTCTTCCAAAACCCGAGAGGGAATCGATCTCGATCACGCGCTCCAACGGCACAGCCGTTGGAGCGCGTGATCGAGATTGATTCCCTCTACGGACTATACCACTCGGCCATCTCACAAGGAGGTTTAGACACATACTTTCATTACTCAAATAGCCATAATAGACGTCGGTATACTGTGCACATACTGAAAAATTCCGCGGAGAAAGTACAAGAGATCTCAGATCTCTCAGGTCCGATATTTTGTACAGTAATACAGACTAGTTTTACTAAAATGATTACGTTTGAATATGTTACTTTTTCAATCAATGTGTTACTTTTTCAATCGGCGGATATAAATGTTGCCTTATGTTAAATGACTCGCATACATAAAAAGGGGGGGGAGGGGCGAAACTGAAGTTGGCTTATTTTATCAGATATCTGTGAGATGAGATTGGAAGAGGTAGATCTAAAACACAAGCTCGTGATCAACGACTGCAATTCATGTGACAATAAGCACTATACTGACAATGACCATGCTCATGCATTCCTGTTAACGAAATAATAAAAATTACATTGTCCAAGCCTACACGAAATTGAAATGAGTTTCTTCGAAATTTATGTTGTATTTCACAGCAAACACAATGTTTTGATTGAAGACTCAAGTCCATAAGGTGTGGATGTAAATGTACACAGTTTTTTTTCCAAAAGGAGGGGCGATTCTTGTCGCTGCAGCTGATTTCAAAATTTAATGGCGTAAAGATGTATCTGAAAGAATTATTTCCCGATGCAAAACGTCAATATCAAGCCGAAAGACAAATACCAAATTTAAGTTTGTTTACAAGATGACAGTGTCTTACACATTGCCAGAGTTCATCCAAGACAAACACGGGCGTCACTTCGCGCTACAGTTCCATTATGTAACAGCTTTGACAAAAGACTGGTATTATATAATAACTACGCCCAACACTGTTCTCTGTTCATCCTGTCTTGCTTTAGATGCCCAATCACCTTTCTTTGTCACATGAGGTATTTGTAACATTCCAAGACTAATTGGCGTAGCTCTGCGTCTAATTAGGGGTCTTCATCTGTCTATTTTCACCATTCTTCCAAAATACAGAGACACTTGAGGAGAGTAAGCTTTGTTTATCAGTGCGCATCAAGCAGTGCACGATACAGCTCACTTTCACCTCAACTGCATTTTTTTTCAGGTTTGAAAACTGAAAAAGATATTGAACATGATCAATAATTTCTTGTGCCAGCAAAGTTTGGGTCACAAATGGGTCTTTAGTATTGTTGAGGGTGCAGACAGAAGAAAAATCTTGGGCTAAATTGTTAAGATTTAGGGCTCACATACCCGACCTCACCCCATGAGTCCATCCATCAACCGTACTATGACCCTCGCTCACACCCCGTCCTAAGCAATAACATAATTTGAAACTGAAACGATAATCTTGTCATTTAAGCACATGTATTGTTCTACATAATGTAGTAAACAAGTTTCCCATAAAACATGAGAAAATGCAATCAATCTGTGCCAATGCTGACGATATATACGTGTATTATGCTTTCGCTACAAGCTGAAGACAATGAAGCATTACTTTTGCATAATGTAAAATGCTGCCTACTGCTAAAGACTTAAATTTAATGCATTCAATTCCTCTCTACTGCGCTATGTAGTATGGCATAGGAATTCAGCCATCACGGCCTGAAAATCGTCCTGCTGGCGTTTCAGTATCCCATTTAATGGAATAAACAAAATTCAATTAAGTGTTGGAAATCACAGTCAGTATGGAGGTCCTATTTTTCACAATTTTTACCACCACTTCTTTTCCATAAAATCGCGCCATGGAATACAGTTTTCAGACTTAGCACTCAAACAAAAGGAACAACACGTACAAATGTAATCATAACAAGCAGTATTTGAATAACATCTGTACTGTGTTCACAAACCAAACAACGGCAGAGAGCTACATTACAATGAAATAGCAATTACACATACGAAGTACGCGAGCGGTATGTTACAGTTAAAATATCTTGTAGGATTTCAATAATTTGGTACAAAACGCAATCAGGGGATGAAAGTGAAAGCAAAAGTCCCTGTTACCCCTCAACTTAGAAAATTCAACAATGGATATACATTCATCTAACACAAAAGGGTTTGTTCATAAAACAACCCTAAAAATCTGTAACAAAATTAGTACTTCCAGACTCGACGGATTTTAACACATATGTAAATATACTAAGACACTCAGAAGTAAAGTCAGTTTTAGTTGAGAACGTCTTTAGTCAAAAGTGGTGAGAAACATGTCTTGTGTCAAGTTTATTAAGCACTGCCTTTTTTGCAATAAATCAACAATGTCTGTAAACAGATATTGAAGGTGAACCAAGCCAGTCACTAACTGACAATATTTGTCACATGATTAAGGACATCAAGTTTTGTGCTTTCTGGCATCAGATATTGTAAAAAAAAATAATACAACAAATAATTTGAAGAAAAGAAAACTTTATTCTCAGGTGATGAGCTTGGGAAAAGTAAGCATATTCTCTCTCTGTTGGGCTAAAACTTAATTCAAATACTATACTCTGTCCACGAAAGGTTGAAACATTTAGTTACCGACGTGCAAAAGCTAGACATGCATTAACTATACATGACAAACACAGTACTTGATTAAAAATGTACATGCAGCCACAACTATTTGTAACTAAAATATAATTTGGAGTATATCCATAGATATATTTGGAATGGCTTATTGCAAGCAATTTGAGAATTATACTAATGTTAAACTATATTATTATTTCAGTACATATACAACATTAACACTTTCAACAAACTTTCAGTAAATTCTAGAATGGAGTTTGGAATACATTTCATCACACTACAAGCATCAGTGAATACAATTTAGAATCATTTTGTATAGAAGAATAAACCGACAGACATCACTTTTTCAAATCATGCTTCCCATATTTGTTGTAGTCATGGAAACTACTTAGGCATGGTTTCTGGACTTCAACAAAAATTGTTAATTTTCCTCAGGCAAACGCCATGGTACAAGGGAAAAAATGTTCGAAACTCAGGAGGAAATTCCCATTGAACCATAATCGTTGATATCTTAAAATGATGGTAAACAACCATGGAACTTAGATCAGACAATCAGGTTGATGATGCACCTTATGGCAGGAACACTGTCAATTTGCAAAATTCACAAGAAGGAAAGAACACTTGCTAGATTGAATAATCACATGATAAATCTGGTGTACCCTTCCTTATCATAAATACAGATTGATAAATACATTTAACCAAGCTAGAGACAGGGAAAAAATTAAAATTTCCTGTTTCCTAAATCTTTATATCAGAACTTGATCGACAGCAGATTATAACCATTAATTAATTAACATGAAAAGTTATTTACTGTTATTGAAGTAATACAGATGATGATGACGATAACTGCGCATCTGTATGAGATACTGAAAAAACACTTGCTGATTTTTCTATTACTGGATTAATATTTGAGAAAATGTAAATAATCTGGGACAAGAAAAGACAGTATATGTGCTGGAGGGAAACCAGAGTTAATGAAATGTACAATCTTGCAGTTTTGTTTGTAAATGAACAAACCGTGAAAATAAAGTGACTGGCCACCCAATTACCCACTCACCATCCACCCAACAAACAAACAAGCCAACACACCTGGATAGCAAACTAACCTACGTCATGTCCAAATACACTAATGCAACGAATATGTCAATTGGAATTTACAAGAAATCAACAAACTAAACTAAAAAAATCTGCCCTCAAATGATTCTGAACAAAAAAAATCCAGTAACAAACAACTGAACAAGTAAAACAAGATATATGGAACAGAAATCAAATCCAAAGCTGGAACGCTCATTGATCTTCCTAACCTAAGCTTCTCAAACTCTGTCATTGCTCCTTAATGCTTCAGATGTCAATCAACAACCGTTACATGTACTTCAGCCAGACAGGAAAAATTATAATAAAAAGCTGAGAGCTACATTGTGGATCACGCTCCAACGCAGTCTTTGGCTTGAGAATCCATTTGGATGTCAAGAAAAAAAATGATCATCACCAAAATTAAAAAGTGTAAAAAATAAAGCTGTGTAAATTTCAGACCCTGTACACGTATATGTACATTGTGTTATGAAATTCTTCCCTTTAGCAGGTGTTTTAGCTGACCTCTTATGCTTAGGATTTGTAATCAAATTTAGAGAATAGAATAACTAATTAATGAGATGAGCATGAGCCGATTAATGTCAAGTTGCTGGGGAGTACACGTACATGTGTCCATGTATTTTCTAATGAAGCAAATGATGACTGGTCACATCTGTCACTGTGTGATCTATATGCAACACTAAAATAAATTGACTGCCTGAATTTATGGACGTTGACTGGCCATGGGTGGGCAATGAAAACCACTGCGTCATTCAGTATGTGGATAACATACATGCACATCTACATTGCAACATGATTAGTGTAAATGCTACAATAGTCCTAATTATGCAACATGCTGGTTCAAAATTTACCAAGAAGCAATTTCCCAGAAAACTTCCCCAAATGCCCAACAGATATCAAAATTTGGAAGGCCTGAAATTGGACCCCTTCTATCTTGCAACAGTTTCATCCATTAATTTTAGATTTTTGCCCTGCCCAATGTGTATTATAAGAGTGTATTCTCATATTAATTAACATCTCCTCCGCGCAAATTCATCCTTGAAAATAGTTTCATCCACGCACACAGCCCCTCCATAAACATCTATTATTAATCTCTACACAATCTTCGAATCATTTGGGTATGTCCCAAGAAGATGTTCATTATAGAAATATTAATGAGTAGACTCCCATCAAAATCCTATGTGTGGATGTGGATGTATGCTGCTCATAAATTCATCATACATGTTGTAACCTGCTTCCCCATGCACAACTGAAAAGGATGTCATGTAGAGGGAAGCAACCTCACTGGCCAATCATTGGCCAATCACAACACAGAATTAATTAGCAAAGGTTGAAGATCATGGGTTGGCTCTGAATTCTATTTTAGGATGTGCAATAGACTGGTGTAGGTCACATGACAGACTCAGATAGATGCAATGGGAAGAAAACCTCTTTTGCAATATTTGACCATAAAATCCCCCAAATAAAACAATGACCATAAATCACTTATAAGTATGTCAAATTGGATTTTCCAATGTTTTGAAAGGAATGGGTCCACTTTCTACAAAACCTGTCTCTGGTTTATGCTATGCTAAAATTAAAATTTAGGTATCCATTTACCGATACTCTTCAATAATTATACACACATTTTAGTTTTCTCATGTGCTGCTAAGCTTTCCAGGAATTAAAAATCCCCCCAAATTGAACGTTTTCAAGATTTTCAGAGATTTCAAGACTTTAGCAGACTTTTTTTTGCCCAGCCATTTGACATGTTTCGAAGGTTTTTCTCACAGGATATTCAAGCAAGCTGACATTCTATTTTCAGAGTTGCTCTACACAATTGACCATGCACAATTTCATTTCAACATTACGTTGATCATTCTTAAATAAATCTAAAATGATCGTCGTTAGCATCATGTTTAATGCATTTTCTTAATAAAAAATAAAAGGTAATTTATCTAGATCACTGTGGAACGGATGAAAGTGAACATGTTTCATTAACTCTGATGTCGCCTTGTAACATACTACCGGCAAGCTTAAAAGATTACATGGTGCTTCATTTTTATCGCTCCTAATAACTAAATACATAAAAGCTGTACAGTCTTTTACGGACCTATTATACATCTAAGTTACACTTAGATGTATTTCAAGTTGTTTGAATCAAATTTCAAGTGGAATAGAATCTTGTGAAAATTGTCAATTGGAGAAAAGTAAACCATTACATGTACTGTTTGTTGTTTTGCTGCTGTTACACCTTTTAGAAAAGCACAAAATGATTTGAAGAATAAACATTTCTAGAAGACTAATGTTGGAAAGTTTATCAGAGTCTTTCTCTAAAACACTCCTCATTTTGTTTGGGGGGGGGTATAAGAGGCCATATGCACACCTTTGATTAATAACTCCTCATATTAAAAAACATTCTCCCAAAGCAGTTCATCATTCTACTGGGTCTTTCTCAAACTTTTCACTCAAATTTCCTTTCCTTGTAAAACTGATCAACTGCATGTGTCCCCCCTCCCAAAAAAATGGTTTGGAGGTTGCACATGATGAGCACTCTATCCTTTCCTGAAATACTGGAACTTTATAAATACATGGAGCAAATATTGGTCAGCAGAATGTTACGGTGTAAATATTTTGCTTTTGAAAGTAAACCTCATGGAGTCAGCATACATGCAGCTGCTTGAGCTCACTAAGTGCTGACATTTGAATAAATTTTCCAGTCATTTCAAGCCAATAAGAACATGTAGTCTGTACAACACTTTTAAAAGGATGCATTTCATGTGAGACTTATTTAGTCTTTTGTGGAATCTGGTTGGTCGGAATGCTTAACAGGGATACATCACTGGTCTCCTTGTTTGTTCATCACTGGTTTCCTTCTCCTACTTGGTCACATAGCTATTGACAGCTGTAGCATTGCCGGAGCTGTAGCCTGTAAGCCAATTCATAATGAATGAGAAGTGAGACTTATCAACCCCAAATATCCTGACACATGTATTAGATATGTGCAATAAAATCCCACAGCAATCCAAGAGTTGCTGTGTACAGGTTGTTTCAGCTGTCAAAACAAGCTGCAGGCAAAACACTGAAACCTGCCCAGGATGCTCTCTGCCATCCACCACCACATTCTGTTTGTCTTGCAATATTTACATTACCTCACTCTTGATCTAAGCTATGTTTGATTTCACTGCTTTCTAAAATCGACAAGCAACAAATCTGGCAGAGGTTGGAATTAGGCAAAAATAATATACATGTAATTACCTGAACAATTGGGTACACCTTACTTGCTAAAATACTGTACTTTAAGTCACAAGCAACCCTTTGATTTAAAGATTGAGGAATGTAGCACACTTGTTATCCCAAAATCACCACGCACATTTAATAATTCATGTATAATCACAAATACATGGGTTGGAAACATAATTCTTTCTAAACTTGAATATCAAATTCAAAGATTGCCCTCAACCAACACATGCCTTGATCATCCCAGCCCATTGAAAATAAGGCAAATCACCATGCAAGTTTTTGTGACCATTTCAGGAAGCATCTCAGCTTCCTTTGACATCAGTATCCCAGTTCTATATACTGGCATATTCTTTGCAAAATATCGGTTTTTTTCAAAATTATTTCTTTGGAACATTTTCATGACTTGTGTAAACTACATATTTTGTGGTTTCATTAACGAGTTTCACTTGAAATATAAAAGTAAGACTATACTGAAAAAATATCCTGACCAGCCCATCAAAGTAATCAAAGGCATTAATTTCATTGGCCTAATAGTATAATAAATTTTATAAATGATTTTCAGAAAAGGGAAACTTTTTGTAGGAAGTATGTAAGTTGAGAGTACCTTGAGAATACAGTGCTAACTGTTACACCAAGGTCCTTGGGACTTGAAGTATTTTGTTCTTGTATTATCAGTAATGGAAAACAAAGAAGAAAAACTCAGGACCTAAAATTGTCCCTTGTTATAAACAAGGGATTGTATTAACAGTGTTTTTCTTACCTGTCTAGCGGTGAAACTTAATTTTTTAATATGAATCACTTGAACATAAATATACCTTGGTACGGTACATACATATCTCTTCATAACGTCTCTCAACAGATGGTTTACATTTTATGAAAAGTGCATATTATGTAAAACACAGGTTTATGCAAAACACAGGTTTATGCACAGTTGGTGACAGGTGTGTTCATTGCATACTCTTTCATTTCCTCACTTTCTTTTACCACCCAACACTCATCCCTACCCCAGGGGAAACCCTGATATTTGTATATAAAATATTACTATCTGCTACTTACCTTTTGGTCCAAAATTTCTTCCATAGCACGTTCTGCAGTAGGGCTTATCATCATGCTGAAATCAATGAGAACAATCAATTACTTGAGTTACAACACTGATACATGTACATATTAGGGGAGGCTACAGGCATGATCATGGACCGTTTTGTCTGGTGTAAGGGGGAAAGGTGTGGCTTGAGTGACTTCAGGTCTTATCCTACATGTACATGTAAGGGGAGGCTACAGGCATGATCATGGACCGTTTTGTCTGGTGTAAGGGGGAGGGGTGTGGCTTGAGTGACTTCAAGTCTTATCCTACATACATGTCTGTACATGTAAAAATTACTATCCTGTGGTCACAATTTAAAGTCAGTACGCATCAGTGGTGTAACTGGGGATAAATGTCGGGGTGGGGGACGCTGGGATGCACACATTGTTTCAATGGGGCACCACAGGAAAATGAACTGCAGCTGCATAGCTACACGTACATGTATATAAACTCAACAGAGATTATTCACAGATTTCAAATGGGAGGGTTGGGAGGTTACGGGGGTACAGGCGTCCGGTGTAGTTATGCCACTGGGACACATGAAGCACTGTGGTAGGGTGAGGTTGGCAGGAATGGGTCTGTTGGTTTGATGGGACAGTGAGGTTAGAGATCTTACCACATTCTGCTTTCCTGGTGTCAAGGTTTGCTTGCAGTCGGCACACTTGAAACATATCTTGTGCCAGTCTCTATTCATAGCAACTAACCGCTCAGCTGTGAGAAAAAAAAACCCAAAAACAGTATAAGAGAAGCTAAATTTTGCATTGACTACATACACACTCATGAATAGCAGCCATATTCGTCCTGTTCCTGAAACAAACTGTGACAACGATGGTACATACATGTATAAACAGTTTCTGTAAAAACGACCTTTCAAATAGAAACAATGACATTAAAATTCCTCAGAATTGGAAGGTTTTCCTTTGACAAGTTCTTCTTCAGAACAAGACATAATCCCTAAGGAAAACATTGAAGTCCAGTGAGTTGGTATAAGTTAAATGCCCACGGACAACCTTGAGAAAAGTTTGAGAATACTGGACTAATAGCGTTATGTGTGATACACCTGTTGGGGGCTCCCGTTATTGACAGTTTGGAAGTGTTTGAAAGCCTAGACCTGGTGAAGTACATGTACCTACCCTTGGCATACTCAACATCAACCAAGGAAGTCCAGGACAAGAGGACTGTCCTAGGTTTACTTAATTCATCACCAGGGTTGATAATTGGTGTATGTGTACAAGCTGCAAATAAACTGTACCAGCAAACAATCTGACTATCTTGAATTAATGAAGGCACCTGCTCCAAACACATTTGCCTTATAGTGTCACTTGTTATATTCCCGCTCATGGTTGCATCTTGAAATTTGAAAGTGTCTACTGAGCATTACCTAGCCAGTGATAATTCCTGCCATTTTCCAAAATGTCTCAAGCTCCTCTGATGTAAACTACATGTAACCAAAATATGAACTTACAAACTGCACTTCAATTTTTACTATGTCCCTGTGTCTGTACGTGTACAGCATGAAATTCTCACCTAGGAAATATTTCAGGCAAAACAAGCTTCTATAATGCGAATGGTAAGTTGGCAATAGATACCTGGATACAATCATGCAGTGAGTAACCACACCCATTTTTAATGGCTCCAATGCACACAAATTACAAGTACATGTACACTATGTACATTGTACAGTATAATCCCATGGCATGTGTACAGTCTATTAGCTTGACCCATGGAGCTGTTAAACCGTCTGCTCCATGTTTGACCCTACAAACTCATTGGTAAAGTGACAAGAGCCAAGATTGTATTATACGTCAAACACACCTTATAAATCACCTAAACCCTCTCCAACATACATGGATAAATCATTGAAGTCCTGGCCAGTCAACCAACTTAAAATAATGAGGCTTGTTTTGGCCAGATACATGCACATGAATTTTTTCATGAGTTTACATTTGGGTGAAGACTGAGATATATGCGCATCAACAGGGACCTGTATGTTCACAGGAATCTATGTAATTCTGAATCACAACTAAAATCATTAGAGTTGTATTTTTCAGGTGGAACAATGGAGAGGTACACACTATATGTCTGCCTTCATGAATACTCCAGGCAGACATGTACAAATGTACATCTACACTGTCAGATTTTCTAACAATGTTCATGTGCTGTTAGTGTAAGATGAAATGAAAATAATATGGCTTTAGTTGAGACAAGTTTCGTTATCACATGACTGGGTCTGGGACAATGTACGATACAGTACAAATAAAGATAATGGAAAAACAACATTTCACTGTTTAAATAGGGCAAAGTTTCTTCCCAAAAATATTTCTTGCACACAACAGAACATTCATGACAGTGAACTTATCACGTTTCATTTTAAAAAGGCCTTTATTGACATTGCTTTAAACTAACAATGTCCCAAGAGGGTGTGACTTGGCATACTTTGTTGCCAGGCAAGCATAATATGCCCCAAGCATGACTGACTCTCCTCTGACATTGAAATAAAAGTAGTTTCTGCAATACAACAGGTGTGAAGCACCACACAGATAATGATCAGTAAACTGTACAAGTTTAACAAGTTATGGAATGGGGTAAAAGACACTCCATTCCAACATCAAGGTAACACATGAAAGCTTGAACAGGTTGCTATGATTTGGATACAAGTTAACCAGTGACTGGTCAGTTAAATTTGGACTAGTCAAGATATCAACTTGTCACTTATTTCAAAGTTCAAAGAGCCTTGAAAATCTTGGTTAAAGCACGCAGTAAGAATACTGCTTTCTTTTTCTCTATAGTTTTCAAATGATTACTTCTTAATTCATTTTTCATTTCAGTATTTGGTCAACATTTCCAACTGAAACAAAATAATTTCAACAAGAAATGCATGGACATGAAATGACAATGTATCAAATGCAATGTGCATAAATATTGACAACTGTCACAAAAAAGTCAAATTCGTAAAGGAAAATACATGTACATGTATTAAGTATTTGGGAAGCAATTAATTAAATAAAATGAATAGAAATACAAACATGCTGGTGAGCACAGAAACCATATAACATGCACACATTATAATCAAATTTTCTTAATTTCAGAAGGTTTACGATTTGAACAGAAGAGACTTGGGATTATAATTTGTTCCCTACATGTGCCTGCATGTTTTTGTACTGTGACAACATAATATTTATGTAATAAACAACATGCATACATGTACTGTATGTTCTTGTACATGTGCAGACTTTTGGGGAGGGAAGGGGGGAAATCACAATGCCACACAACAAAACACAGAATATACATGTACAGTACCGGTATGTATACCAAGCTGAACTCTCTGGTGACATGCCTCACGTCTGAAGTACAGAAACTGAAACTATGCGCTACTGACTTTGGTGACACTGAATGTTAACTTGGGGAAGAAGGCTAAAGGTCAAATAACTCTCAGCAGGCAGCCAAGTTCACAAACTCAACAAATTCCAACAAGTTTTAAAAAGGAGATTAGTTCCAAAGATTGTATGTGTAGCTCTCCAGTAAGTTCAACATTTCATGATAGGGTAAAGACAAATTGACAATACAAGTACCTTCATAGATGTAAATTTTCATCTTCAGTTGATAAAGAGCAACAATATTACACTTAAAAGGGGCGCAGGTGTTCCTGTGTTTACATCTTCATGTATCAGTTCAATGTTATTTACTTGATATGATTTATGAGACACCAACATCCACAAACACTGTACCAGCAGTACATGAGATGCAAAAACTGACTGTCACATACAAGTAGACCTTTGCTTTAGCCTGTATCCTTCTACATGTAACTTGTCTTGTAAGCTTTCCTGTTTGGGAAATGCTGAGAAGGCTCAGGTGGTTTTGTCCACAGTGGCTCATTTCATTATTTCCAGACAGATGCAGCATCACACTTGTGCTATTGGGAGAGCTGCACAACTGTGTCATTGTAATCTGGCTGAAAAATAGTGATTAATGACACCCCGGTCTTTGCAGCAAAGAAGTCAAGACAGTGTTAGGCAAACATCTCCCAGACTGGTGTAGTGTTACACACACTGGGACTTGTTTCTGATTTGTCAAATGCACAATATTTCAGAACAGCCAGCAAAGAATAAGTAGTTTTTCTTAGGGGGAGGGGGAGGTGGTTGAGGATGGACCCTTGGTGGTACTGTTCATTAAAGAAACCATGTACCCACATGTGTGCATTCTCCACATCCGACTTCCATGTACATTGTAACAATGCAATCTGGGGCGAAAGGAGAAAGATTAAGATGAGGGTGCATCATGGATAGTCAAACCTGGTGGAGCATGTGGTTACTCACGATTTATGGCATGTGGTTACATAAGATTCACGCAAGCTTTCCTGCTTTGTGTACATGAGAACCTACAGTGTATATGTGCACATATGCCACTGCGATAAATTTCTGTACAGAAATTTAACACTACATGTATATTAAATTATCATCAGTCTGCTTGAAATGATTTCTCCTTGGGGTGGTGTACAATGTAGGTGCTGATCCAGCAGATACCTTATTTTTAAAAATATTGACAATACAGCAAACTCGACGGACCTTTCAGCTGTATAATGGCCTTGTGTGAGGTTGTACGTAAAGTCAGTGTCAAACATTCATATTGGTGAAGTGAACCTGAAGCTCAACGCTCACACTAAGCCATGAAAGTCACCATGGAGTGACCTTGAAAGGTACATCATGTTGGAATTGAAAAACTTGACAGTTGTACTTCCAAGTAGGTCTACTGTGAGTTGTCCAGAAAATGCCTCATTTTTAGCTGGCTCAGTTGAATTATATTTAAATGTTAAGTGATTAATTTGCTTCATGAATGTTTGCTCCATTCAATTGGTGAGTGTTACATTGTTAACTTGATACTTTGATACGAACAGATATAGGTCTAATTTTACAAAAGGCCTTTTTGGTAGAAACGTTTTTCCAGCTATATTTACCAATCTCTCCATTCCAGACTAAGGCACTGAATATTTCCTGTGGTTACTATGCTCTGCCTATGCATTTAGTCATTACAGCATCACATATATGTACACCAAATTAAAATAAACAACAAAAATTGGAACTTCATCTAAATCGACGCTGATACTCAGCAACATCCACTTCTGGATATAAATGCCGAGGTTCAGACTCAACCAAGCATGCCATGTGTCAACAGAACTCAGAAGCAAACATGACAGAAACCATTTTATTTCTGAAATTCACATTTATGAGCACAACTGTACCATATATATACCTATCTAGCTACAAGGTTATAAGCTCTTGCAAGCTCTGGGTCTGATGTTTCTCGTGTCGTGCAGTTTTGGATAAACATGGCTAGCTGGCTAGTGTACATGGTGTAACATTAGTCAAAATGATCAAGGTCACAAGGCAATTGAGGTGCATCCCTATTCTCATGCACATTTTTATTTACAAATTAATGATGCAAACCTAGGGTCTAGGCTTCAAAACTTACCAAAGTACACTGGTTTCGTACATCCAGCACAGGGATTAGCCATAATTTACAGGCTCAAGAGTAGCTCTCACGAACACAAAATCCAAAGGTCTTCGTATAACCGCAATGTTTACAACCACTGCGCCAGCTAAACACTTCTTCCACTTGTCCTTGCATGCAAACCGCGTAGCGCGCGTAATTAAAGGCATGGACAGAGACAACCACCTTGTGATTTATTTCCATACAATTTCCACTGTAGACGTCTGGAGTCCGGAACATCCATATTCATGACGAATCGAAATTGCACATAAAGAGGGCGCTATTACTTATGCCATAACCCGAATTTGGATAGTTTGTCATTTTGTAATAGCACATTTCAGTCGGTAGAATTTGGAGGAAAATCATTAATAAAGAACATGGAATTTATTCTTTTTTTGTATTTGGGGGATAATCATTTTTTAATGAAACAGTTTTTGCATATTGAAGATATACCTCAAGCTATACATATACTTGGCAATAAATGACTTCAGACAAGGGAAAAAAGAACTTTTAACCAATACATTCAGGACAAGCTGGGAATACAGTTCACCATAAAGACTGGATGTGAAGTTTATCTTTGCCTGTTCTAATGAACAAAAAACAAACGAACATACATACATTAAACTCACATGTGGGAAACAAAATAAAACCCTAAAGCAAACTAAATAAACACAATACATGCATTGTACACACACCGACACACCAAAAAAAAAACCAAACAAATGTGGCGCTCCACAGTACAAACTAAAAAGGAAAGGGGGAAAAAACAGGATCGTCTCCGTGCTGGGTTTCGCCATGGTTTTATTTTTGTAAACTTGTAAACGCTCCACATCCCCTCCCTTTGCGTACTGCTTTTGCGAATGCCCTTGATAATGTTACGTTTCGAGACAGCTGGTTTCTTTTCTTGCAGGTACGTACGTTTACACGAAAGAAAATAGAGGGCGCTATTTACGGACTCCACTGTGAGAGAAAACTAATTAACGGTGAGGTTTCACTTCTGCCCCTCCAAAGAACTGCTGAGGCATTTGCTCCAAGCGTTATCACCGGGACAAGAAGTAAGGGTTTCATGTAGGTCTTTTCAGGAAAGAAGACATTTCAGTTCAGATTTGCTTGTGTGATGGGAAATATTCTGTTCAACTTGAAATTAGAACGGGTCCCACCTTGAACTTGACATGCTAAGTCAAATGGCAGATTGAGTGGCAATGATGCATTAGTTAGTAACCAGTCTCTTCCTACCTCCAGAGCAACGTTGTTGTATAACGGTCTTAGTAGGCGTGGCCCACTACCACGACATATACATACATGTACATGACGTATGCCCTAAGCATGACTATGAATAATGGAAGTAGCCACACGGCTTATTCCATAGAAATACATTTCAACTATCTCATAGGTGTAGCCTACATCATTACATGATGTATGTAAGACATGTTAAAAAATAAGAGGCACACCAGCTTCTTTCTGAAAAATGATAGGCCCGAACGCGAACTTTAAGGCCTAATTTTCAATCTTTTCCTACAGTCTTAACCAGTTGAGTGAACTGATTGATTATACACTAGGCCTAACATGATTAATTTATTTTAGAAAGTAGATTTTGGTTTTATTTTGTTGTGTACACAGACAGAGCTGACTCCAAGGTTTCTACATACCAGCTAATGCCATGAAGTAGCCAGTGCCAATTTGTTTTGGACTAAACTCTACTCACAACAGTGAGACTGATTCCCATTTTACTAAATCATGTGTTTTGGACCGTTACGACGCCTCTGTCACTGGGGGCCATATATCACGCTTTTCTTGGTGTTCTACATCACGGGAATGGCGATCCTATGTGACCTGTTCTACTGGCCGCCACATACAGGGAGTATATTCAGCATTGTACACTTCGGGGTGTTGTCTTCCTGGATTTTCTTCATTTTGTACAATTACTTCCATGCTGTTTTCTATGGACCCGGTTTTGTTCCTCTTGGATGGAAACCAGTAAGTGTACAGTTATGAACCATAATCTTTATCTCACAGTTTTTGCGATGGATGTTGAGGGTTGGGCTAACGTATATCTAAATGCTCACTGAAATGGTATAGTTTCAGTGTTATTTACATAACAGACATTCAATAAGTTTTTAGTCAATTTCTTCTTCCGAAGGAGAAGCCAGAAGATGAGAAATATCTCCAATACTGCCACGTCTGTAAGGGATACAAAGCACCAAGGTCCCATCATTGTAAATACTGCAAGAGGTAAACAAATAATGTATGCCCCTATATCCCAAATTATTGTATAGCTGTCCATTAACAAAGGATCGCTAAATTGGTTGAGAAGTGAAGCTGTGTTTCAATGGTTTCCACTTGGTTTAATGTGTTTTTCAAAATGACTGTGGTCTTCCATCAATTTTTTGTGTGTAGGTGCGTGATGAAAATGGACCACCACTGTCCTTGGATAAACACCTGTTGTGGTCATCGTAACCATGCCCACTTCACTTACTTCCTCATCTTTGCTCCACTCGGTTGTTTCCATGGTGCTGTGGTCATTTCTCTTACTATTTACACTGAAATTTTTAAGGTAAAGATGATTTTTTGTGGACTTATCTTTGCAAATTGGTTAACTTTCAATTAATGTTTACAACCAATTTTGCAAACTACACTTTTTTGAATGAAATGTGAACAAGGAAGTATTTTGCCTGACATATGCAGGTGAATTGTGGGAAAATATCACTATTGGCTGTTTCAGTTTTTACTGAATTCTACTTTTTTCCAAGTGCAAAAGTAACAGATTTTAACAGATTTGTGAGTATTCCGATTAACTTCATTGATGTATTCTGTCATGTCTTGATACTTATTCAACAGCAATTGTACAGTCCAAAGCAGTACCGTAAACCCAGCAATACCCCCTTAGGTCTGGAGTATGGCTTACCTCAGCTTCTAATGTCTTTCATCGCAGTGGGCCTTGCCCTGGGTGTGGCTCTCGCCGTCTCATTTTTATTTTTCACTCAGGTCAGTTGGTTTTTAGTTGATTTCTGAAGCCGCAAGCTGGTCAATTTCTTTTGTTGAGCTTATTTTCTTGTTATTTTACACACAATACATGCATTTGCCAGAAGGTCTACTCTACACTCACTACACGCATCACTGATCAGGACAGTGAATATGAGCAAAACTTGATGAACCTTGTAGAAAGTTCTTTATCGCAAGTAAAACTACTGTGTCCAATATATGCCTTTTGTGATAGCCTAATTGGTTTGGAGGCTTCACCATTCTTTTCTTTATTCCCTGAACAGATTCGTTCGATTCTGAAGAATGAGAGTGGGATAGAGAATTGGATTGTAGCAAAAGTGAGTATTGTGAACTTAGCATTATTTCTGCTAGTTTAAACTGTTTCCAACTTAACCCTTTCAGGATATCTCTGCAAATGCAATAGGAGTGGACTATTGAGCCGTTACCAACTGTAAATGTATTGACACATACATTGACAATGGTAGTCCAACCCTAAAATCATAAGCCTACATGGTAAATCAGAAATCAAAGAAATGAAATCTTTCTCTTATAATGGCTTTGTAAATAAATCTTTTACATGTAACTCCAGTGAACATAAACCAGGTAACAGTGGTGTTCCCCTGATGGAAATACCTTTTTTTAATTATGTAAAATAGTAAAATTAAGATACAATACTTAAATACAGAATGCATGTCAAGTTGAAACCACAATACCGCAAGGATTTCATCTCAAGGTTTTGTTGTTTTAATAACTGAAAGGCACAATACCGCCATCGAAACCTTGAGGAGGAGTTTGTGTATCCATACAACCTGGGACGTAAGAGAAATCTACAGCAGGTGTTTACATGGCAGGGTCAGCCACAAGGAGATGGCATCACTTGGCCTGTCATAGATGGGTGTACCCAGTACACACTTACAGTGAGTAGAATATTTTGGTTACTGCTGGAACTAATGCAATCCAGGTGAACCCCTTCAAGGTATTTTTTAAAGTCCATCAGTATACTCCACTGTTTCTCCAACTTGAAACTCCTAGAAGATTTCAAGTTCATGTTTGAAGAAAGTACAAGTGGTTTCCTACACCATAGTGAATTCTGAAGCTCTTAAGTGGGAGATAAAATATCTGGGGTCTATCCTTTATGGACTTGGTATTTCAAGGCCATCAGTAACAACTAAGGGTCAGCGCAGTATGCTTGGACACAATTTGGTTTTCTTTTTCCTAGATGGAGCAGATTATGCAGAAGCAACTGAAGAAGGAACGAATGGTGAGTGCGATACACGGCCTCATCACAAATCTTCACCTAAAACCTTAGGTCGACTAGACCTTGCAAATCAATGCAAATTCTCCACTATGGACTCTACACCACCAGTGGCTGCAGCTGTTGTTAGTTCGTCCATCAGGCAAGACCTAGACATAGCCCTAGGCAACATGCGGCTGGAAGCTGCTCAGGGGAACCTAGTTAGGTCTTTGTTGACTAGATTTACCTATGAACTGCTGTTCCGACACTCAGGAATGAGTTCACATTTTAGTTGGTGTAAATTTCAGATTGAGTACATTGCCACTGAGGACTACGAAGGATCATGGTTTCCAATCTCCAAAGGGTGTCGCACTTGCATCTGCATTCCTCTCACAGACGAGTCACGCATCGAGATTGATGAAGGGGACATCATCATGGTTAGCAGGTGGAAGAAGTAAGTCTGTTAACCTTGCGATTGCATTGTAATTATTTCAAGCCACATGTAGGGTGACAGCATGGCCCACCGACATGACAGATTCTTTTTAATGTGATTGGGCATTTCTGTTACAGGTACTGGCTGTATGGTGAAGTCATACAGGACGACGATGAAGACCCAGCACCAAGAATCCGTGGCTGGTTTCCTAGGCAGTGTGCCAAACAAAACACTGGGCAAGTTGACTCAGATGGTGAAAGCAAAAAGGTCAACTAATGCCTCTTCGTGATCAGAGACCTCTGAAGAGTGGATTACATGGAGACAAGTCCAACCATCGGATCAGAATTTGATCAGATTAAGGATTGTTGATCAAGCTTGGAATGATCTTACACCCACACTTCAACTCACCAAATTCAGGTGCAAATGTAAGGCTGTCAAATGGGGGGGGGGGAAGAAATCACATTTTTGAGCAGCTTCTCTGAAAATATGAAGTGACCCATACATATCAAGTGAAAAATACTTTAAAAACTTAAAGGCCTTCCCCCCCATCCATGAGATTTTTGGGAGCGTACCATTTCCTTGGCACCAGTCATTTGGAGGCACAAAAAGACTAAAACCAACAAAATGGTACATAGTTTATTTTTCAAATGAAGGTTGGGCACCAAGTTGCTCATGAACATGGGGGGGTTCAAGGCCCTTACATTTAAAGTACTTTTCTAAATTCTCGTGGATCGCTCCACATTTTGAGAGGGGCCACTTGAAAAATGTATTTTAATATCCTACATTAAGACAAAAATGTTTGAATACTACAGGTGGTTTAAATTTAAGACAGGACTGGTTTAGTCTGGATTTCATTTTTTCCCTTAGACTTGACTGTAAGTGCTTTTTTTTTTTTTTTTTGAGCCTCAGTGCCCATGACAAGACAAAACTTGTCAAGAGAAAGCATTTTTGCCCCGTACTCTCAACTCCCAATGGTGTTAAAAGTTTAACATATTGAAACTGAGTGATTAGGGGATGTTAGATTTAATCGTAAGGTGTTGGCTATTGCTTTAAACTTTTATAAGGTTATTTAAAGACGTAACTTATTCTTCAGCAGTCCAGAGTAGTTTCCAGAGATTCCAAAATTCAAGACACATTGTAAGAGTAGTAGTATGTTTATCAGAAAATGATAAATCTGTACAAATTTACAGCAATACAAAGCGAAATAGGCATGTAAATAGTTGTAAGGTATTTCAATTATTCAGTGGAAGATTTTGAGGTTTGAGATTTCTTACGGATTTAGAGAGACTGATGCTGTCAAAATGACTGCCTATTTGTGAGTAACTTTCAAATGATTGCTGTGTTACCATTTTCCAGAGCCCAAGGGGAAGGAAAACCAATCAAGGTCATGTATTAAATTGCAGAGATGAATGAAGCCTTGAGAATATTCTGGAATAATATGAATTATTTTCAGTACTTCAAGTCTTGTGTCTTTTATTTTCTGATCTTTTGGAGTTTGAAAAGTCCCCAATCAAAGAAAGTGATAATTTTGGGCGTTTATCTTGAAAATCTGTCATTAAAATAAGGTTCCTGGATCTAAAGCATTTTTGACTACTTTGAATTACCACTTATACTAACTCAGATATCACAATTAGGAGCTAGTACTGTTGGGGTATCACACCTGTACATAAACTGTGTATGTGGGTTGAATGTCTCTAGCCAGTACATAGATGAAGTGGGTTTACAACTTTTCAAATGTATACATGCCTCATAACTGGGTGACAAGGTATGAATGTGACATCACTGACTCTAGTACAGGGACATGTATTGGCAGCCTCTCATGCAAGTCTATTATGTACATTACAACAGCAAAACTATTGACTCTTAAGCATGGTATCCTCAGATCTGCAAAACTAATATGGTCTGTAAATATGACCAATCAAACCTAATTTCAGTTTTAAAATTGAGCGCATTGCTCAGGTTGAGCTTAAGGTCACCAAATGTTCAAACAAGGCCTCTTGTGAAACATCTTTTTCATATTTGCAAGCAAAGTGTATGGTGTGTTTTGGAAACTGGCACATAAAAAGATTTTCAAGTTGTAATTTTCTCTGATCACAAAAACAACACAAGCAGGTTTGGATGACTTCCTCAAATAGTGAGCAAGAGAAGGCCTCCGGTGAACTGCTTCATATTACAAGGGTCTTCCAAGTGCTTGAAAAAAAATGACAAACTTGTTCATAGAAAAAATAAATTATGCTCTCTGAAAAGAAATTGAAATCAATATAAAATTATTAACATATCACACATTTACCATGTAAATTCTCTGAAGGTTTCATTCACTTTAAATTTACACTTATTGCAAGGATAGAGCACACTAATTCCTTTGGAGATCACAACAAAGATATAACTATTGTTGACTGGCAAAGCAGTTAAAATAACCAATCAAAGAAGAAAAGGAAAATGGATAGATGCAGGACATCCTGGAAGAGGTAATGACCACATCAGCTGAGGAACACAAGTAGATGTGAGATTATCATTGGACTGCAGGTTCAATTACAGTTTCCCCACTGAATGCTGATCCAGGTAGATCCTAGAAATGATCTCTTCACCTTGTCCTTGACCTTAATTGCTGTTCTTGCAGGTAAATACTGCATCAAAAAAGTAGTCTCCAACCGTCAAAACTAAAACAACTAAAATGCTACAATGTGCATTTACCTTCTTTTTTGGGGGGAATTCATTACTTTCTTTCTACAGTTTCAACTGCGAGTACAATGATAACCTCGGCTGAAACCTTTGATGTCAAAAGTTTCTATCGTTACATGAATGCGTGCGTGGATTGCAGTGCACAGACCAAACACCACAGTTTTGTGGTGGCTGCCTCCATGCAGCAGTGCAGACCATCAATGGGTACTGGGACCTTTGCTGTTCTTTCCAGTACAAGCACTTTTTAATCTTGGGAAGGTCACTGAGTAAAAGTATAGTGATACAAAGCTGCTGCATGTTCATGTATTCTCTTTGAAAAGATTTCTGATTAGGTAGCGTGTATGTACAGCTAGCAGCATCAATCAACGGTCTGAAAGATCCTGAAGCTTAACAACTGTCGCAAAAGCCAAAGTTTACCGTCTGTTTTCCTCTTGACAGGTAACCTCAGTCATATGTTTCGCTGAATGACACCTTTTAGAAGAAATCAATAAAAAAAATTCTTTAAATTCGACTGCAGGCACTGAATCACTGATCAACAGTGAAATTCAAACATGACTTGTGAAAACAAGCATAAAAATCAGCCAACGACATACAACCAACAAGTAAAAATCCTAGAATCCTCCAGATGCTGGACATTCAAAGATGGCAGAGGTTGGGGAAGAGCTTTAATCATGATGGTGTTTGTTACTCTCCCACAGCTTTCAAACAAGGTTTACTTCCAAGACAAGTGGGCAAGATGGTTTGGCTACCATTTTCCCAGGGACACATCAGCTAAAGTCACAAGTAACCCATATATTCTCCCAATCCAGCAGTATTATGCCCAGGACGGCAACATAACATGTATTTGGTTACAAGAGGTTACAAAAATAATATGCCATTCTACTTTTGTAGTTGAGATGCTGATCGAGGATTACTGTCAGTACAACTTCTCAACTGCCCACCGCAATTTTTCGTTGAACTTCAAACTTCAAAGTACCTGAATTTTTAGGTGCTGGGTTTGAAGTAGCAAACCCCTGGTGGCTCATGTCTGCTGGAGTTTCAGCCTCAGCACTCCTCCTTAACACAACTCTTCTGTCCAAAGTACAGTCTGGTATACCATGGTAGTTCTGTGCACTGCCTGGAAGGATGCTTGCCACAGACTTCCCACTAATCATGTTCGGTGTGGAACTGTTAAAATGCATTTGTTGCATCACTGATGAAGTCACTGGTGTAGATTGGATTCCAGCAAGTGGCTGGGGAAAGTAGTATGTACTATTAGACTGGTTCTGGGGATGAGAGCTGACACTAGATTTCAACTTCTTTCTGAGCAGGTTCATCTTCTCACGAACAAGATGTTTAAGATCACTAGTTTGGTGCTGTTGCTTGTACACATCCTTGATCCTACGAAGAACCTTCATGTGTTCTCTCTCAGATAATCCTGGCACACCGCTTAATGGCCTGAAATTCCAGTCTTCAATACCTGCTTTTTCGATTTCATCAGGGGAGAAGTATTTAACCAGTGACTCTAACTGAAGGTGAACATTGGCAGCAATGTCCTCGTACTTATTGATGGAAGTTTGAAAGGTGGTTTTTTTGGACTCTTCGGCTGAGCTTTTCCCCTCCATCAATGATGCTAATGTCTTTGTTGTCTTGAGCCACAGGTTGTTGTACTGGCCCAAGCACGAGAAACAGGTTTTTTTGAATGCCTTCCTGTCAGTCTGAAAACGGGACATTTGATGGGTTGCCTTATTAGTTGATTTACGTAGTGCAGATAGCTTTGATGAGATGCCGTATAGGTCATCGACTGGCTCCAGACCACAGGAAGCTTCAGCAGTGCCTTTTATATCAGAGAGTCTTTCTCTGCGAGATTTTCTATTATCATCACTTGACGATGATGAATTTAGGTGGTAGCTCCTCTCAGCACTTGACGACCGTGATCTAGTCTGTGATTTACTCCTTCGAAAGGGTAATCTACACTTGTAGCTTGATGATTTACTGTGATGGGATCCTCTTCTTTGGGGTGATTGTGATTTTCTACGTGATTTAGCATGAAGTGGGGATCTGCTTTGATGTGATCGGCTCCTCTTTGGTGATCTGTCTCTTTCTGGTGATGCACCATGTGAAGACCTCCTCCTGGGTGGTGATATCCTTTTGAAAGTTGGTGAATCACTTTTGCTATCATGGGACCAAGAATGTGAAGACTTCCCACTACAACTACTGCTACTGCTGTATCTTCTTGACCTGGAATCTTTTCCTCCACACTTGCTTGACTTCTCTGAAACTTTGCTGTGTGACTTTGGTTTCACAGCCTCCCCGCTGGAAGAGTCCGAGTCTTTGGAGATTGAATAAGCTCTTGGAGGATGCAGTGTTGCTACAGCAACACTAAGGTTGGATACATGTTGCAGCTTCTGCAAAAATTGTGTTGTGGGGCTGTTTGAGTGGAGTTTTTCAGCCTCAACATTTTGCGCAACATTGCTTATGCCTTCTTTTGGGATGAGTTGGCTTTCTTCAATGCCTGAACCAACAGGAATAGATAGAGAAGGGGGAGGAGTTGACTTGTTTGATTGCTCCTGTATCCTCAGTCGCGGGTCTTTCTGTATTTCTGTCATTACCTGAACTTTCTTTTGAACAGAAATGTTTGTTTCAACCTTCATAGGATCACCTTTGGATTTATCAGAGTCTCCTATGTCAGTGCTCCATGAAACAATGCTCAAGTCAACTTCAAACTTTCTGCCAAACAATGCAGACAAAGCAGCTCTTGGATCAACAGGTTTGTTTTGTCCAGGGATGTTTTCCATAAGAATCTCTGCTGGCGTTCCATTAGTTTTTACTAGTGGTCGACCATAAAACTGACTTTCAACTTTGAATTTCTGTGAGTCAGTCATAGATGGTGATCCATTTGCCTGGCAAGTATTTTGGTGCACTGGCTGCTCCGGTTTTATGTCCCTATGATTAAGACACTCTGCCACTTTTGCACAAATCAGCTTATCATTCATGTAAGTTGAAGGAATGTCATTCCTTGGTCCATCAACTGTCAAAGAACATTCCCTAGTTGCACACTTGGAACCCTCAACAGGACAACTCCCGTTTCCACCAGGTGTGAACTTGTGCAAGAAATTCTCCAAAGCAAGTTGAAGAACTCCCTTTTGCTCAGAGGTGGATGCCTGTAGTATTTGTTGCCCCAGTACATTTACAGCTTCCTGCACTGGAGCAGAAAACATCACTGATGGGTCTTCCTTGTAATGACCAAATGTGAACCCTTGCTCCACAGGTAAAGGACTTTTGTTACTCACTGGAAGTCCTCCAAAGCTACCACCCTCAAATGTGCAACAGCTCTGTGTCTCAGGGAGTGGTACATTGATTGCTGATTTTTGAATGGTGCTGGTTTGACCAACAAAAGCATTTGACGCTTCCCAAACATTTGGTAGCATAGATGTCCCGAACAAAGCTTCTCTTGATGACTCATCAACATCCATATCTTGAACTTCCATGTTATCTGTATTGAGTCCAGTGCTTGTATCAGCATCAGGACCTGAATCACTCGATGAAATGTCTTCCAGTCCCAGGGAACTTTTGTATGAATCAAATTCTTTGGCCACAACGACCGGCAGATCAAATGCAGCAGCATTCCTCACAATTTCTGCAGACTGAAATGGGTATATGTGTTTAGGCGACACATGGCAAGGAATGTTTAAGCTCACTTCCCTTTCTATACTGGGGCTGTACTCCCTGCTTTGCAATCTAATATAAGGTGCTGGTCCGTAACCATCTTGACCATTCTGTTGCGTTCCTTCACAGCTTGGATATTTTGGTGAAACTAATGCAGAGCATTCTTCATACTTCGCCAGTGGCGATGGATTTCCGACAAGCCGTGGTTTTCTTGTTTTTGATGAGGCAGCCTCATAAACTTCTTCCTCTACTTCAAAAATACGAGAGGTATCATCTGCCTTGAAATACTCCGGGCATTTGGACCGGACCTTGCCTCTACCTCTACAACATCTACCCCGAGCAAAGCCTCGAGATTTTCTGTTATGAAAATAGCCCCGTCCATGAGAAAAGCCTCTGCAGGGAACATTCTCTCGGTCCCTAAAAAAACTATTACTACGACTGTGTTTAGTGGCTTTAGAATATCTCCTACTCTTCAAGAAATCAACTTCCTGGGAAGATGACTCTCTAGATTTTGGTTGAACACAGTCATGATTTTCAGGTGATTTCTGTCTGTTTGGTGATACAGATGTATCTCTTACTCCAGACTTGTGAGTATCATGATACCTGTTGACCTTTAAGTGACAGTGATTACTTTGGAGTGGGGATTTTTCACTCCTGGTGCTTTTCATAGTCAGCTGGTTGCATCTTACTTCCTCAAGCTCCTGCTCACTTATACCAGATTTTTGTCCAGGTTTGCCATGTGACTTGTCATTTTCTCCAACCTCATGAAGTGCTTGGTTCCTAATTTCTGCTTCCCATATATTTTCAGATGACCTTTCGGAGTTGTTAATGGTTATTTTCAATCCTCCATAACAGGATTCTGTTCCATTGGGACTGGATTTTAAGGGCAGTGATCTCTTCTGGCTTTTTATTCCATGTCCAGTTGTCTGATTACTTGTAACAAGAGATGACTCAGGGCATGCAGATGAGTCCATGCACATAGCAAATGAATGTGCGCTTTGAATGGTTGAGAATGTTTCATCTTCAGATGATGATCCAAAACCAAGAAGGGCATTATTTATCCGCTCAATGCGAACAGCTTTAAGTTTCTCAAGGGCTTTGAGGTGTTGTTGTCTCATTTCTTCAAGACGTGGGTCTTCCAATCTAGTTTCACATGGATTGACATTTGTAAAACGATCAGACAACTTCATTCGAACACCTCCTTGTGGCTTTTCTGTACTTTGTCCTCCACTACACCCCTCAGCCTTTTGCGAGATTGCATTTTCTTTTTCATCTCGATTTACACATTTGGAAAATGATGCTGAGAAAACTTGACTGGTGCACTGTATTTCCACTGATGACTTGCACACACTGCCCACGGAATTCTGTGGTATGGTTTCCAGCTGAGCCTTACTTTTTGGTGATCTGCGAAGGGGTGAAATAGCAGACACATCTGCTTTCCGTTTTCTCTCAAGCCCCGTGGGGATTACATTCTTCCTTGGATGAGACAGTACATGCAGATACCTCCCCTTCTCCAAGGTACATGTAGCTTCTGCTGGTGACTCCAGTGTCCTCAAGCTTGGTATACTACCTTCACAATGTGGTTCATAAGTCTCAAATGCTTTTGATGTTAGTGAGATTGTGGCATATGGTAGACAATGTCTCGGGTGCTTGCTTAGAAGAGCCTTTTCATCATACTCAAACAGGAACACCTGAAACACAAATAACAGTCATTGGAAGTCTTTTTGCAACTCCTGAGTCACAAACTGACCGTTCTCATTCAGCTCCCTCCACAATCTTGTGATCTATGCTTCTCATGTCTTTAATAATCACATAAAAGTATTTCTCCATCTTTCCAATTCTGTAAATTACAACAGATAAATTCTCGTTGAGTAAGTTGTTCTTGAATTTGCCAAATTTGCTGGTAGTGTGAGCTCAGGTTTCCATCCAGTAATCTCCCCTGCCGTAACTTTTTTCACTTATTCTTACTACCATGCTGGACCCTCTAGTATCGAGGATGCCTTAACCTTTAAAGTATATACAGTACCTGTGATTTGCTGAGTTGCTTGAAGATTGGCTCAGTAGCATTAGGTTTGCAGCTGGTGATATGACAGTCAGCATTAGGCGTAGGTTCCAATGCTAGTTCTCTTGATGACATCCTTTGGGTCACCGTCTTTGTCCGACCCTTGAGTATCTAGACCATAGGCAGAACAAAACAATTTCTTTTACCTCATCTCGCTGAAATGTGTGTAAAATCTCAATATTGAAATTTTTTTCCATTTAGTATCCTGTTAACAGAACTAACCAATCACTAAGAACCAATATGAGAATGAACATTTATCGACTGAAGGGAATTAAACTTTAACTTTCATGTTGTGAAAGTACATGTAAGAAAATAGGGGCTGGCTCCAATATCCTGGAATACACATTATACATGTACATGAAAATGGTTAACAGTTTCTAAAACCAGGGAAGTGTTCTCAATGCAGGGGGCTGTTGCTTGGTGACACATCATCTTCTCTTGTGCAGTCATCCTTGTCATTGGAAAAGTATAGTCTACCTATGAAGACCAATAGCACATCCTTCGTATTTAACCTTTTACAGCCTCCATAAGAAGTAAAAATTGCAGGGTTGCACCTACCTCAATCCATCAAAAGACATTCTCCTAAATTTTGTGGTTATTTTCGAGGATCTGGGAAAATTTGTCATGAATGGACATCTATTAAGCCAATATACTGGCTGCTTGTCTCCAATAAGTGCTATTCAGTAGGCATTTAGAAAAGATATGCAACATACCTTATAGATAACCAGGCATGGATGCTCAAAGCCTTTCTTTCCTGCCCACTCAAGCACTGTGTCTGAGAAGAGGAATACGTTGACTCCTTGGTCAACACTGCCAAGTGGTACATTGATGCTCTGACAACTAAAGTCTCCATGGCTGCAAATGGTATCTGCTTCATACTCGGACACGGTCAACCCAAATGCAAAGGACTCTGCAGGCTCCTTGGATAGTTCTCGTTTGAGTACTTTCTTCTTCTCAGCAAAGTCCTGCTGCAACTTGTCATTAACGACAATACTGATGTTTTCCACACACCACTTCTGCTGCAGTTTCTGTTGCTCATCAAGAACTTGAGCGTTCACTAATCTGAGGATGTCCTTCGCTTGTCTTGATTCAAGTTCCACAGCATGTCGGCATCCTGAAATAGAAAGAATGTTGGTATTAGCTCTTACCATCCTCAATCCTTCAAACCCTATGGGCGGCTTCAGAGAATTTTGGAAGATTGAGGCTGCATGGCAAAATTGCATTGCTGATTGCAAAGGATGTACTGTCTCAAGATTGTGGGATAGACAAGTAGGCAACCCTCCGCAGTATATATTCAATAAATATCAGAGGATTTTGGAGGACCGAGGCTGTATCCAATGTTTTCATGGGGCCAGTTGGAGGATTTTGAAAGATTGAGGGTGTATCCTAGTCAAAAGGGCCTAGGGGATTAGTAAATCGATCAGGGCAGGTTGCCAAGAGGGATCAGAGGGTTAGGCCCCGTAATTAAAAACTATGCACATCAACACAATCCACTGTTCTTGTGATGTGCCCTGTACCCTTCCTCATGCTCAAAGATGGCGACAGGGCTAAATCAAGGGTGCATGCAACACCAGTAGACTTCTAACTTCTCTGAGGTAGAGAAAACAGCACAAGAAAATTTGTTCAAAAACATAGAAGATCTTTTCCAAAGGAACACATTCAAATTACCTTGACTGGGGGTCCTTTGAACCTTTGGAATTGAGAATCTTCTTGAATCATCATTGGTGGAGTGTATTCTACCACATCTCTGATCCATCTTGCCTTACACTGTACCCTGTGGATAACAGAAAAATTGAATAATATACAGTACATTCAAAATATAGTGAAACTTTTTCTGGGACATACATTTAAGCATACAGTGTACATGTAAAGTGTTGCAAGTCCTTTTGAAAATTATAAAGGCAATTCACAATAAGCCCTCATAATGGAGTTGCCTTGTCACTTTGTACTATGTACATGTACATCATTACACATGTATGTACATGTACATGTATATCAATTTCAAATAGTTTTTTTCAAGTCATATACTAAATGAGGCGAGTGCAAAAGCAATTGAAAACAGGTCTTGTACTGGGCACTCACACCAAGACGAAGATATGCAGTCAGTTTATATTATATACCATGTGCTAATGGCCAACCAGATGCAACCTAATCACCTCAGCAACTTTTACAAAATAGCCTACATGGATTTGAATGCATTCAACAATACACGTTATATCCAACTTTAACCAATCATATCACGAGACATACATGTAAATGTACTATATGAAATACGGGCAAACCAACTGCTAGAATTTGTGATCATAAACATGAACCATAACATGTAATTTTGCAACAAATGACACATGGTGTATTTAAGAAAGATTAGGCTTCAGCGAAATTATACATGTAGTGTATCACTAAAAACCTGAGGGCATTTCTTTAAGAAGTGGTAGTGCAATTTCCAGCTTTTAGTTGAATACCTGTTTCTCCATGACCTATTTCATAGGGCCAGTCCTGTGATTTTTGGTATTTGACCTTTAAACACTCCGATGGACTCTGACCTTCAGGTCAAAAAATTATACTGGGTAAATCTTACATGGAGTACAGGCTGTGTGCCACTGAAGGTCAAATTACAAGTGGTGGAGACAGGTCAAATTACCGGTGGCTAACTGGTGGTCCCAAGTGAAGTTCCCATGCCTAAAACCCAACAGTGAACGGTTGCAGCTCTGGTACATTCTTCAGTTCTTCTGGGAAAATTTGTTATCCCTGGTTTCAAGACCAGACCTGCCTTGCAAAATCACAGGCATCTACACCTACATTGTACATACAAACACAGTACATGTAACATTAGCTTGAACATGATTTTAAGCCGTGTACTCACGGCACTTTTTTTGGTCAGACTTTCCGAGATGAAGGATTCTTTTCCTAAAATGGCCATGCTAAGTCCAGTGCCAACATCCCAGGAAAATTCTTCTCAGCCTTGGTTATTTTCACTGAGCCGCTCGGTCATATTTACTGGTCAACTTCTGCCCAGGGAAAATGACCGAGACCACCTTTTTCCCGAGACAGAAAGTCCTGTGCAGACAGCAAGAGTTGGTAAAACTAAAAGCATGGAAAAGTGGCCCATCAGAGCATACATCCAGCCCAAGCACAACTGTATGTTTCATACAGAGAAACTACATGTACAGTGTACATACATGCGTACTGGATGTTTCACCACAGTGTGGCATGTGGTAAATATTTCAAGTATATTGTTCCTTTTTTTGGTCCCAATCGTGGCAGAAATTATCTTGGACACTGTTGGAAGATTCACTGGTGATGAGGACAGTAACGCTGTGTCTAAGGATGAAAACGGTTACTTCTCCAGTTTGTTTTTCGTGTCCAAAGTCCAAGTGCGGACAGTGGTCACATTTGACCTTTTTTTTCTCCATCGGCTCAGTAAACCTACGGGAAAAAAAAAATTTCATGCAAACATGGTTCTTGTGTTTGTTCGTCCTCCAGGACCATATTGTCAACTTACCTGCTCTTGATATATGAAGAGAAAACAATGATTTAAAGTAACAGGTGTCCCCCACAAACAATTTGGTCGGTCCGAGTCAGGTGAAGCAGCGGGTACTGCGAACTATTTTCAAGTTGTATTTTTTTTTTGCGTTGGGGAGATCTTAATTTATAAAACGGGTTTTGCCCTTACCCAACGTATATTAATAAACACTGTATGCTCAGTGCTTGTCGGAGAGCTTGCGAAAAAAGTCACAAGCTTAGTCGGGTGGGACTCAAACCCACGACCTCCTGCTTACTAGTGCAGACGTCTTAACCACTTGACCACTGAGCTTGCCGGGGTCGGCCGGCCAGTCCGAGTCAGGTGAAGCAGCGGGTACCGCGAACTATTTTCAAGATGTATCATTGTTTTACAATCTGTTTTCGTGAGGCCGAATGCATGTACATGTATGTACTTTTGTCATTTCCTGTAGCTTCCATTCATTATCATAAAAGGCACAAGCCTTTCTTTCATCTTTCACTGTCCATGAACTGGTGTTTGATAATCCCATAACTGGGATCCAGCTTACCAGATATCAACAGTCAGGTTCATTTGAAGATGGGTATCGCCACCTTTTCCTAACTTTTTTCCTAACGGTTGAGTAATACAGTAAAGGAATCCCTTTACACGTAGTTCCCCATACATGTAGTCAGGCACTCTTTTTCTGATGATGCCACTTCTGTATTATACATTTACATCTCGGAACTGGATAAACGAGGTGGTCTTATGTCCTGTGCACATGTACAAGCTGAAAAAGCTTTAAACAGTAAAAAGTGCACGGACAAGTTTATTTCAGTGTTGGCAGCGGCCGGCATTACGCGTGCATGTAGTCGCAATGGACATCGCGCATTATATGTGCATCATTTCCAGAAAAAAAGTGAGGGTAGAGAAAAAAAGCCATGTTACCGCACCACTTTTGGAGTCAGCTCCTGGCCAGAGCCAGAGACTTTTTTTTGGCCAAAGGTACTGGAAAAATGTGACATTAGTTCATAAGGGTACATGCAAGTTTTCACCATCAAACATTGTTTTCAATTTGCTTTGCAACAGAAAATAAATCTTTCTGTGTGTAAATTGACTATCATTCATTTGATTAAAAAACCAGTACCATTGCAAACCTTTAACAAGTCCAAAAGCAAGAACGAGGATGAACGTTTAGCAGTGTACTTTCAGCATAATGTTTGTGTGCAAGATCTGGTGCATGCTAGATGAACAGTAGTGGAAGTTCCGCATAATCCAGAGAAATGAAAATGATCACTTTGAGTAGATCGTGCAGGGTAAAAATAACATCTCAATACATGAACATGTACATGGTTTCAGTACAGACAACCCCCATGGTTGGCAACTGCTTCAGCTGACATGCTGTTTGAACACCCTAAGAACAGCCTAAGTAAATGCAAACCCTACAGTCTAATAACTAGACAACATGAACATGGTTTATACAGAATCCTGTGTAGCAATAAGGAGGTCCCAAGCTTTGGTATCCCCCCATGGCACAAGGCTACTTATTACAAGTACATGTGGGACATTCTTACAAAAGGTTTTGAATAAGAAGTACAAAAAGTTTGGCCAAAAATGAATTAGCCAATTTTTTTGAGTTACTTTAAATAAGCCAGCTGAGGTTTCCTTGCTGTCAGCATGCACTGGTAACTTGTGGTAACCTTAACCGAATACATGTACATAATGTAGTCAGTCTGAGATTAAAACCTTAACCCCTAGGTGTATGTAAAATCATATTGAAACTGGAGGATTTTGGTCTGTTAGGGTTAATGCATAGGTCTAATGGGAAAACTACATTTACATGTATACAATATTTAGAATGATTGGAAAAATCAGTGGCCATGTGTCACAAAAATAGATGTATCTAATCACTTGGATGTTCTGGATAAAACTTATGCCGGTTCCAAATAATTTGTATAATACTTGAGCGACGTACTGCAGAACACTTGTGTGGGAAGACACACCCTGATCCCTCTTCACTTTGAACAAAACTAATACATTTGTTGATGAAGTCCTGCCTTAGAAAAAGCTCCCACCCACAGTAAAAATGTATGTTCTTTGGGCAAAGCCAACTGCTACATTTAGTTTAGCAAAGCAGTTAACACACATGAAATCCTTCAATGCACTAGTTCACCAAAATTAGCCTCCGCTTCATGATTAATGTACCTCAGTAATTGTGATCCGAGCTTCTAAGTTTTCATGGCAAAAGGGGCAAGGTAGCACTCTTAAGTGCTCGTTATCACATTTCAACCTTCAGGCTACTGCTTTATTTTTATAGTGAAAGAGCTCACTTTTTCATTGCACCATCTATCAGCAAGTGGGCTTAGAAGGAATCATCTGATGACAAGAGTTGTGTGCAATGGATGCTGAACAGTTTGGCCCCCCCGCAAAGGTCTTTGCCACATGTATTATGCACCCACATATGAAAACCCCATCATAGAGACAAACTTCATCTCTCGGAGCACTAAGTCAATGTAGTCATTATATAAGACAAAAGAACTTCAAAGTCAGTTATTCAATCAGAAAGAGGGGCTTCTGGATAGTTACGTACACATGTAATCTGCAGGACTGCTTGGTTGTGGTCAGAGATTTTCGATTCTTTCCCAGGCTGTGGTGGTGGAAAGATGGAATGCAGACTGAAGTTAGAGCCTTCCTTTCCCAGCCAACCTCTCCATTCTTTTTTCTTAGAAGAGTGCGATACTTTTGAAAAACTTTATGTCACGTGCACATTTCCATCATCTTCCAAGACACTCCCCTTCGCTGTTTAAATTTTAGAGATAAAGATGATTTCCGGGATTAAATCATTTCCCATCCAGACAAGTTTTCTCCACTCATCTAAATCAAACTCCTTACTCCATTGCTTTTGATTAGAAGTGTTGCAACTGCACATGACAGTGAATTGCTGGCCATATCACCAGGGAACTAGTTGATGGAGCTCCTCATGCCATGCTTGGTAACTGTATACACTGTAAACGCAGCCTCTAGATGGTTTCCATGCATGTACTGGGTGCCCAGTAAACCCTACAGTCGACACACTGAGCCTGCTGGTTGCAAACATGCTGTCAACAACACTCCACTTTCTTCCAAATCATATGCCATGTCCAGTCCCACAATTTGTCTGTGCCTGGGAAGATTTCATTTTCTCCCTACACACTGCGCTCCTCCAGTGTTATGTTACAAGTACATGTATATGCGTATATGACTATAAAAAGGAACAAAAGACCAGATATCTTCAGGTTGATATTTGGTGTAAATGAAGGAAGTTGTATGCTGAGCTTGTATGTCATAAGCTTGGCATAACTTGAGATTACTGGAACTTCCTTTATCCATAACCTTTCGAGTTGAAGGTAACTGTGCAGTTATTCTCTGCTACCCCCAGAACTGTGGGACACCGATTCCTACTGGGGGTAGTTTTCTACTGTGCATATGGGTTATTTCAGAAAAATCTTTCCACAACGAGAAACGGTGGTCCAAGCACGGAGGTACCTCAGCTCCTCGGGCCAGTATACTTTGGACGAATACGCACAGTCATCACATTCCACTCCAGCATGTGCCCGGCCCACCACCGCAAGAAGACCACGGCTTTTCCACGGTGAGCCATTCGATTGCGAGGTCGTTTTCGCCGTGGGCTGTCAGTGGCCGCGTGAGTGACTTGGGGAAACTTTTTTTGCGAGAATTCGACGAAATTCAGTCTTTTATACTTACACAACAGCTGTCTCGTATGTTCCACCGTTCACTTCGTATTGGGTTCGGTCTAGGCAAAATTTACACTCACCTTCAGCTTGTAGCCTCGAACTTCGCGATCTACACACACAAACTTGATAGAGGCATGCAATCATGATCAAACATGAGCAACTGACCCTTTTCTGGCTTCCAATGTCATCTTACCTTTAAAGTGGGATCTCAGTTAGCCGTTTTACACTTAACAGACGGTAATGGCATGCTGAGTTTAGGGGTGGAAGTCATGGAGATTTCTTGGAGGATTTGTGCATCGTGCGGATGCGTTCCCACCAGGTAGCTATTCATAGGCTGACAATAGAATGTACATGTATGTAAAGGTAACGACGCCGTATGTTGATGGCCTAACGCAGGTACAATGTACACTGCAGACTGTATACAAACTCATCCATCCGCGAACGCCAGTGTATAAAAAAGCCCGCCAGAACGCGTGGCGATATGCCAAGGAGTCAGACAACTCATTATTTAAACCAACCAGCGCGCGTAAACGCAAACGGTCCCTCCCGCGCCCTGTACTGTTCCATTTGTTAATGGGGGTGTTTCCGTAACGGTGTTGAATAATCCCCTGATACTGCAACCGTATGTCGGCATGGAAGTACTGTACTTTGGTCTGGCGCCAGAACAGTAGTGTACATGTAAGTACATGCGGGTATGACAAAATAAGAATACATGTATCCTGTTTAATTTAACCTAGACATCTAGGACGGGCACCGTGTTGGAAAATGAAAATGCACACAATAAAGGTTAGAATACGCCAATAGTTCTTTCCGTGACTGGCCATGGCGGTAAGGGTTCGTCGACGTACAGATCCATTCACTGGAAGAAATTAAGGAAACCGGTCTTGGGTCGCGCCGCGGAAAACTTTACGTCTTTGGCTGAGAATTTCGGGACCTGTGAGTTTTATTTTTGGCCCTGCATGTATATATTCAATATTCACTATTTATATTTGGGTTTGATTAGATTGTCCAGATTGGAATTGAATTTAATTCGCATCTCAAAGTCCTTTTTAATAGCTCCCCGGTCTTACTACCACTCCACGCTAGCTAGCTCCAGCACAGTGAGCGGACGTACATGTACTTATAATTATTTACGAGCCTGTTGAGAGCCGCCATTCCAGAAACCCTAGGGGTGCACCAAGTTTGGAGCCCCATGGCAGGCAACTGAAGTCCCTGAGGCCTCTCAAACAAAAAACAATGTGTTGTTTGGTCCTTCAGATTTCATTTGATTTTCAATTTTTAGTAGGTTAACTGATGATTTTTTTTTAATTATCCGCCCAAAACAAACTCATCCCCCCCCAAAAGTGAATGTTGCCAAGCCCCCCCCCCCAGCCGCCATTTTTCAAATGACATCCCTCACCGTCTGCGGGCTCTTCTGACTAATTTCAATCCCATTTTTATCTGCTTTGCCCCCAGATGGGTGCCCCTGAATCTACAGAGATGATCCTGGGCCATACTGGCACAATCCCACCATTTCTTGGCCCAAACAGACTCCTCTTTTCGAAACAATCTCTGGCGGTACAGCGCCTCAGCCTGGCGCAGAATTTTCCTTGAACTGGGACACTGCACCCCCGAGGCTGAAAGGGGTGAAGTTCATTCCCCCCTGTTCTTCAACATTGAACTGCCTTCGTCCCGTAAACACTCACCCTTTCTCAAACGAAATTTAGACTTTTGATCTCTTTCAAGTCCAACAAAACGTGGATGGTTCCGTATAAGGGGTATGATTTTTTATTCAAAATGTTTTAAGTTCTCATACAGGTCTACACATCGAGTTACAAAAAAGTTCTCTCCTGCGAGGTGCACGTTCACAATTACATGTATTTACAACCAAATGATTACCATCATTACGGCGCTCTTTGACGAGGGTTCATGTGGACCAAACACAAAAGATTTTACCCAAACCAGTAGCGCCCTCCTATTGTGTCCGCCCTGCTTCTAAAAGGTTAACAGGTAAAGGCCTAATGTTTTTTAATTCCTTTTTGAAACCCTTTCCGCATAATTCGCAATTTACATGACGATTATACAACTACATATACATGTTTTCCTAACTACAGCTTTGTTGTAAATAGAGTTCTGAATGAACTCCAAGTTGTTTCACTTGATACGCTATAGTATGTAAAATTTTTGAACTGTGTTATTAAAATAAAGGCCTAGCTAATACATGTTTGCATAATTACAAATGTACATCAGAATAATATTAATGAATCTATAGCGAACTCCTTTGTACTGTACACTGATGTAAACCAAAGACGATCAACTTTTCAAAGGTAAAATTCACACACATTTCTTCCACACCATGCTGTAGAGCACGAAAAGACATATACGTAAAAACGAGATTTTTGGTCCATCAGTATTTGATCCTTCAACTTCCACCAGTAAAGGCCGATCAATGTTTATAAGTTTTGGGGTATGCCCAATCCACAACGAAAGCACTTTTCAATTTGAACCTTTTGCTGGTGCTTTAGTAGTACTTGCATAATTAATGCGGAATAAAGCACATCCTTTCTTTTTTCTTTTTATTTTGAACCAAAAATTAAACATGGATTCACAGCTACCAGAGAAATTCTCAGGCACTTAACCAGTAATTGTCCTTTTTGCCAGCATAGGCCGGTATAAGACCTAATCAACATTCAAGTGAAAGTACGAATTGAAATCAATTTATGTCCGAAGTTTAAAGTGGGTTTCTAAGTCATCCCTTGAATACATTTCAAACAAGTTCGAACAAACGCTTTCAAAAAGGGCTCATGAATAACCATTACTGCTGTCCATTTATACATTACATTGGTTGTTCAAATATGTCCACAATACATGTTTTTAAACAAAATTACATGTATGCATTTTAATAAAGAGGTTGTTTACGGAAGCTGATAAAACAACTGGCGTTATTTACATTTATTAAACTTAGTTTGCTCTTGTTTGCTTTTGTTGTTTATACCCAATGATTTTAAGTTTAAAAAATTACTTTTTCAAGGACATTTGCTGAAACGCCAACTTTTCGCATCTGGTATGCTACCCAGCACTGCTCTAGTTACTGGGACAATAGATCTCAGAATAGTTCCCCAAAACAGTAATCATTCAATACATGAACGTCTATATAAGGGAAAAGTGCTCCTCACTCACCTGAGCAAACGGGTGAGCACTATTATTTCTTACTTTTCCTCTGCATTAACAATCATCAGTCCTCCACAGTTTTCCTATACTTTATATCTATATAGAGATCGGTCACGTGGCTCAATGTGCATAGAGTCCAACAGCATAGGTTTAGGCCCTATTTATTTCTACGCTCTACTTACGCGGCAAAGCTAAATTTGTACATGTATAGGCCTAATGTCAAACGCAGTAAGAAAGCCAAGCATTCAGCGTGCAACCTATCCACAACCACGCTACACAGTAAGTGAAAATATAAACGTGAAAAGGCAATACAATGGCGGCATTGTTAATCCAAGCACATTTCTGTGGCACAGCCCCGGTTAAAAAAGCAGAAAAAAGATTTAAATTAATTAGCATATACATGTACACTAAAGTTATACGGCCATTTCACAATAGTGCGCCTCCAAGAGTTTGCAACGCGTTGGTCAATCACAATGCGCGAAATCTGACGACCCAATGCGTGTTTGGAAAGGGTCGACAGATTTGCGCACTGTGATTAGCCAACGCGTTTCAAACTCTTGGAGGCGCACTGTTGTGGCGCCCGTATTCAAACGTTGAACATCAATCTTGAACTCTTTGAACACTAATGTTATAAACATTCAAAATACCAAAAAAAAAAAAAAAAAATCCTCGCGGTGAAACTAAGCCCAGACTGTCACTTATTACTCTAATACTCATAGATACTTCGGCGGCGTCGAACCTTTCTGAGCAATCCCTCGTCATAGAACTTAGTGATTTCTTCGGTTATGATTTTCTCTGGAAGTGGGGAGGATGCCGGTGAGATTGGAGGAGTCAGTGTTCCAGAACTCATAGCAGGCGCCAGCTGAGGCTCTGAGACAAGACGCGTTGAAGACTGTTCAGCGTCATCCGGGTTATCCCCATTCAGGCTCTTCTCATCAAAAATCTCCCTGTTCATCAGCCTTAACATTGCCATAGGCTTGCCACCAGATCGCGCTGGTAAACGTACTGGGATTGATGTGGGAGCTGGCGAGACTGGAGAAGTTGGGGTTTCAGACCGAGAATACAGAGAGTCTTCAGCCATAGATGGGTGTTCCTCATCAAGACTCTCTTTATATGATGATGAAAAATGTCGGCATTCCTGATCCTGAATGCTGCCAGACGGCCTTAAAGGCAGTGGGAGGGATTTGGGTGCAGGTGGGACTGGAGAAGTTGGGGCTCCAGAGCCAGAAGAAGGCACCTGCAGAAGATCTGGTGCATCCGTCGGCAGACTTATTACAGAATCTTCTCCTTGGAAGAGCTGACCTATATCCAGGCTGTCCTCATCAAGTAAAGTAAAATACTCCTGCACTTGCATATCTGCACTTTCCAACAGATTACCACCAGAGGACACTGGGGTTGCTGGAGGGAATGCCCCAGAGATTGGGGGAGATGAAATTCCAGATATTTCTGGGGTCACGGGCAGAATTTCAGGACCCTGGATCGCTGGTGCACTGGTACTCGTCATGAGTTCATCCAGGTTACTAGTCAGGTGATGTTTTTTACAGTGGCGTCGGAGGTTGTCTTTTCTCCTAACCCTTGTAGAGCAAAGTGGGCAGGGGAAGCCTTCTTGGGCTTTCCCGTGAGTGTCTTTATCGTGTCGGATGAGGCTCCGCTTATGCCCAAAAGCCTTCGTACACTTCTGGCACTTGAACTGGCGCATCTTCTGAGGCTTGCATGACAGTTCTAAAACAAAAGAAACACGTCCATTTATTAAACCGTTTCAAGTATACGAATACACTTGCGACACCTTGCTGGGAACCTTTCTGGATTCTTTCTCAGTTTGTCCAATAGCAACGATGCAAACTCTGTGTCTGTGATAAGAACAAAAAAGTCTTCTTCATCATCCAATATGCAGCAAGAAACTTTTCAGGAGTTTCAGTCAACTCTTCCTACGTGCTGTCAACCTTTATCCAAGCAAACCGGCGCAGGTCTCGATCAGAACTTTGGAAACCCTCTCACGCAGTAGTTTCCTGCACTAATGAAGTATACCTGTGGTATACCTAATACCTGTAGTATTTCTTATTACTTACACAAAACATAATTATACTGACGATATCGCCTCTTGGATAAGCATCGCCAACTCAGCAATGAAATAATCTACAATACCCAATAGACGGTAAATGGGTTCTAAACATTAACGGAAAGCGCCTCCACGTCAAAGGTATAGCGTTGTCGATCCAACAGTGAAATAGTATGCAATTCTGATTAGGCAATAATGACCAATCTAAAGTGGATAACACACTAAGGAATAGCGCCTCCACAACTAAGGCATAGCGCCTCTCGGAGGTGTATTTGCCAGTTCAATAACCACATAATTTTATTCTGCGTTACTGTATAGGCAGCATGGATACCATTCTATGTACATTGTATGTCGCATCAAAAAGCGGATCACACACAAACAAATAGCGCCTCCACACCAACAATAGCGCCTCTCAGAGGTGCATGTTCCGCTACATGTATAAGATAATTGATACTGAACACTTCGTTTGGATGACCATTTTATGGACGAATTGAAGAGCAGATGATCAATGCACTTTAAAGGATAGCGCCCGCCATCGACAGCGCCTCTATCGATAGCGCCTCTCGGAGGCGCATGTTCTATTGATACAGAATACACAACATGAATGACCATTATAAGCACGCATCAAAGGGCAGATGATCACGCACTCACGTTTAGCGCCGGCCCCACACCAACTATAGCGGCGCCTCCGGAGGTGCATTGCCAGTTCAACAATAACTTTTGATTATCGACAGCATGGATAACCACTATGCACGCATCGAAAAGCGGTTACACGTTATTGAATAGCGCCTCTGCACCATAGATATGGTTACGGAGGTGCATGAAATTAACTATAAAATGTACAAGACTGAATAGGCACCCAATGAATTTCATGGAAAAAGAACCATTCTCTGCGGGTGTCAAAAAGCAAATCCCACACAATAAATAACGCCTCCGCGCGCCTCTTGGGGGTGCATTTGTCAGCTCAACAATGAAGTTATCTAAATACTGTACACATACGGCTATATGAACGTTTCTAAATATTTTATTTAGTCAGAAAAATAACTCAAAACAATTATGTTCATCAGTTTAACTTTTTGGAACCCCCCTCTGGCAATAAAGATCCTTAACCGTTTTCAAATGAATTACTGAAAACCACTAATTTACCCTTCTGTCATTGGTATTAACGGGACATTAACACGCTAGCTACATTATTCCATGTTCCATGAACGCCAGCGTGATATCAAATTAAATTTTATCTTCAAGCAAACTCCTTCAAGCAAACTCGAGAAGAATTGAGAATTCACGATTGCCTGAAGATGACAGAATTTATCTCAAAACATCTTTAATTAAAAAATGCACTGACCTTAATTTGAAACAATCATCCGACACCTAACGGTAACACCAGGAATGTAACTCTCCAAAACAGACACCGCAAGACAGCACGCTTTCGCCTGGCGGCCGAACCGTCGATCGAACTCCGCGTTCCGAGGTTCACAATGCGCAACTAGCTCTATTCTCCAAAAGGTAGTTTTCCTTGCTTGGGAGCTCAGCCGTTCTGCAAGCTACATGGGTGTATGGTCCAACTATACCTACCGAATAACAACCTTTCAACCAATCAGCTGGCGCTTTAAATACGCCCACTTTACCTCCCCGCACATGCCATTTAGTTTTAGGGGGGAAGTTTGATTACGTAGGGCCTACACTATTACCATGTTAGAAATCTTCAATAAGTCAGACACAATAAGTATACAAAGTAGATTTGGAAGATTCAGCATTTTCTGAACTGTGATATCAATGAAATGCGACTTTCTGGAGGTTTTGTCGCCTAGAAAATATCACGTGACGAACCAAAGTGAGTACGTGTTTTTGGTGATCAGGATGGAAATCCCCAATCCGATATACATGTACATGTACATGTAGCTGGTTACAAAACGGGTACATTACCCCCCCCCCCCACCGTGGAGCAATCGCCCGCAGAGACCCTAAAATCGAGCATGCGTGAACAGGTGCTGTTGTCTGTTTCCGGGACCACCATAGAACTTGATTCATGTGTTTGGGCGGGACGAACGGACCTTGACGTCAGCACAATACAATACTGTGTAGACCCCAGTAATAACACAATGACAACTTGAGCCAATCAGCGTCCCAAGTAAACACACCGTCAGTGATCCTGTGCTGAAGACTGTACGATTAGCCCAAGTTTTTGAAGGGGAGTTGACAAAAAGAGGAAATCCCCGCCAGTCTCACGTATTTCAACATCAACGGCATTACATCCGGGGCAAGCTCTGCTGATCGAAGTGAAGAATTTTACTTTAATGCAACATGAACATTGTTGTGCTCTATGTACTGTTAAGTATGTTTAATTTATGTTCTTGTCATTACAATAAGCATATTAACACATTCATTTTGGAACTTAAATTCTGCTAATCATTCTTGTAATTTGTATTTCTACCACATCATCTAGAGTATACATGTACATTGTAAATGTCCGATGTAAGTGAAAAGCACCACCAGCCTGCGCCTGCAGCTCAGCCAAGTATAAGTCTTAGCATTGAGGTCTTGAGCACGCGGCCCGTTCCTGCAAGACCGTGGCGTCACCGCAACAGTCATCAAATTATTAAAAACAAAAACAAAAAAAAAACACGAAGAGCACTACTCACTATTGATACCGCATTCTGCTTCTACCAAGGAAATTTCTTGTTTCCATTGGTTCGTCACTGTTTTAACTCCTGATATATCGTGTTCCTGTTTTATCTAGGTAATCTGCAAAGACGCAGGACCTCTTGTTTCGATTGTAGACGAAGCTGAAGTGTTATCGAAACCTTTCACACACAAGTTATCTGCCAAACAGATACTAACATTAGTACATGATATACTTCTTATCAAGTTTCTGCATGACATTTATTCATGTCGGTTTGACTTCCTGTACACTTTTATTAAGACTAAAAACAAAAAACAAGGGAGACAACTACTCAAAAACAAACTCAAATGCTCATAAATTATTTACAACAGGCGAAACCCCAGTATTTCGGCATGACCTAGTCACAATATCATGCGGTGTTATATTCCACGCATATTTTTGTAATTATTTACATCACAAATTTATCAAAATTAGGGAAAATTGATGTAAGAGGCCCACAAGACTACAGGCAGCCTAACTGGATTCCCTTTCATCAGTGTATTTTTATTAGAAAATTATTTTCAAATTACAAATCATATTTGTAAATGTTTGTGGAGGAAGAAATACGAATGAGACCGTATTAAGTTACTTGAAAAGTTACGGCTGGGACTTGGATGGTTTTTGCTGTAACTTCTAAGTTGCTTTCCCATTTTGATGTTTCACTTAATGCATTAACACTAATTTTCTAAAAAAATAATAGTTTTTAGTATCAATACAAGTTTTATCATTACATCAGGTTCAATACATGTATCTGCAAAGTGAAACGCAGCTCTATAAATCCAATGTAGCTCTTTTTACATGTTTCGGAAACAAGAAAACTTTCTGACAAACTTTTATGACAGAAAATTATGAAACCATGGGAGATAAAATGTTCCCAAAATTCAGATATAATTTCATGTACTTGACCATTCTTTTTACAGTGCTTGAAAATATGAAACACAGGATACTCAAATAATAAAGTAAAATTTATCAATAAACTGAGAATCTGCAAAAAGTAATTAGCAGATTAAATACAAGCATTCTTCTTTTCACTGTGACCGTGAACGACAGTAGTATGGGATATATCTGAATGCTCGTATCCTTTGATAAAATCCCCCTTCTCATGGCCACCAAGTCATTACCAAGTAGAAAACCAGTGAGCAAAGTAACTGAAATAAATCCAGAGTTCCTCCCCCCCTTCCTGACAACTCGGCCTCTCATTCCTGCCCCTGAACCCTGATTACATTTGTTTTTATTTACATAAGCAGTATCCAGTTTGTTTGAACTGTATGTTGCAAAACTTAAGGCCTGAACAACTCTATCTTTGCCATTTGGTAGATGGTGTCGCAGAATGCGATGTAGTTGATGTCATCCTTTCCTCCTACCTTGACATCAAATTTCTTGTAGAGCACCTGAAATTCAGTCTCATTAACCAGTGAGCCCAGCTCTAGCTCGCTCAGGACTCGACGGAACTGGGACTGTGACACAGTGCCATTGTGCACACGATCATAGTCCTCAAACAATGTATACATCTGCATGTTGGACTTTCTCACCTGAAAAGAATGAGACGTTCACAGTAATGTCAATTTTAAGGCAAGATTCATGGAAATGTGATACACAGAAAATGATTCAAATGTGGAACTAGGATGAAAACAACTCATAGTTTTAGCAAAACAAAAATCATAATGATGAACGTATTCCACCGAATGACAAGTTTTGAGAAACTTAAAACTAAATGAAGTTCTTCATCAATGTGCATAGTACTTCATTTGCTGGATTGACACTGTAGCATTGAACTCAGCTTCGCGGTAATTTGCAGGAGTTTTGTACCTGTTCAGCGAGTCTGGCAAGAGTCCTTTGTAAGATGATCTCAGAATCTTTGTCCAAGACATTCTGATCCACCTCGACTGGAGGCTTGAATTGGATGGGTTTAACCTGTGGAGCCTTCTCAAGATGCTTCAGGGTGAAGATGCTTTCAATCTCATCACAGAATGGAACATATTCAACATAGGCTGGATCACGTGGATACTCGTAACTACAAACACGAAAGAAATTTCATTTACCATTGTTAATTTTACTTGAATTGGTACCCTAATTATTTATATTCATCAGAGATAGAATGATGATCGTGTCATTTAAGACTCACTTTTGTTGAAGGATGTCAACCTCTGAAGCTTGCAACTCAAGGTGAGCTAAATCCAGAGCTCGGCGGAAGGTTGTTTTGAGCATACGACCCGTTCGGAGCTTGTCATAATCACGGATAAACTCCAACACTCTCATCCTCTCTCTGCTGACCTGAGACCAAAAACAGAGGGATTGAAACACATGACTTTGACATTCTAGACTTTTTTTGGGGGGAGGGGGAATGACATCGAGGATTGATAGCACCCTTGAGCAGAGAACTTCACAATAAGATGAAGAAATGTATGGAGAGATGACCAAGAATAACAGTCGAGCACAGATAAGACAAGCACCAATAATACATAGTCATTTTATAACAAGGACAATTTTTAGGTCCCAAGTCTTTGTTTTCCATTGACTGATAATACAAGAACAAGGTAATTTGTGAAGTCCCAAGGACCTTGTTATAAAAGTGTTCCACTGTATTTTTCAGGTGGGACGAAAAATCAGGCTGAATTTTTGATTAACTTTCTGAATTTGATTGGGCCAAAAAACCATTCCATATGTTGGCCTGTCTGGTATTGGCGCCTGTAGAACCCAAAGATTTCACAATATCACAGTAGATGACACAGAAAGGGGGTTCCCACTTTGCGACACATCTTACATTATATTTGAACTTTTGGTTGTTTACGGAAGTGGAGCTTCACATAGGTTGACTATTATGTTCAAGGCAACTTAGCTATTAGCATGCAGGCAAGCACAATAGTGTAGTCTGGCATGCGTAGGCACCATGGTGCCATGGTCATACATGTAGAGAACATATTCTGCTGCATTCAGCAATTTATGATTGATTGTATCGCAACCCCATTCAGCCAAACAAAGCCCTGAAAGACAAACTCCTACCAGAGCAATAACAGGAAATCTTGGGAATGACTTGCTCCTTTGCAAAACTTAACATATGAAGCAAGATATGGGACGGAGAGCACCACCCAACCTTTGTGTTGGTCATTGTTTGATTGGAATCTCCAGAATTCTTTACAGACATCTAGGGGGGATGTGTTAGGTAACAGTCTAGAGTGTGTATGGGATTGGACAGGTAAGGGGGGGGTTACCCCTCCGTTCCATATCTTGCTGGGTATGAAACTTATTGAACTGTACTTTTGGAGGTCATATTGAGCCAAAGTGCACGTAGCCAAGCAAAGAACAGTCTGAAAACTAATTCATATTCACCATGGTCGACTTAACATTTCTAGTGAGCCTTGGAGTTTTAAAAATAGCAATGGCATAAGAGAGCATAACACTGTTCATAATAACCTTGTTGCAAACGACTTCACACAGGTGGCACAAAGAAAATTATTGCTTCCCAACAAGTTCAACTTTTTTCAATTTCACTCTCAATATGTTTTTCAGGAGCTGGTGTCGAGTGTATTAGATACCTTCTAAATGTCAACAGCAAGTAAAAATGAATTTCGACAATATGGATGAGAAAATTATGTCCCTTTCATTTTCTACGTATTTTTGAAATCTGTTACAATTAACAATCATCTGACATTGACGCTCTGAATCTAATAGGCAGAGAAATCCTCAGAAAAAAATTGGAAGCCAAATCCTCTTTTCCTAAAAACCTCATTGGATGCCCTAGACTCACTGTTTAGAAATTCCTCTACCTTAATCTTAATTTTCTTCATGATCTCTTCAAAGTCTGTAAGTGGGTTTTTCTCCAAAGACACACTCTTAGAGTTGACCAATCGCAGTTCCTCCAGACGCTGGGTGTACTTCAGATCTTGCTTGTCTCGTGGCTGTAGGTCATCCAGGAACCGCAGGTAGTTAAACCCCATGGTATTGGAGTACTTCAGCTCCAGTAGCTCCATCTCCATCTCGGAGGCATTCAGACCCAGGAATGTCAGGCATTGACGGAATTGCTGCTTGGTGACCACGCCTATGTTGTGGAGATCGTAGTCCTATGGGAAAAAGCAGTGTCAGGAACTGATTCAATGAATTTAAATGTATAAAAAATTATCTATGCATGCCTTTATCTCAAGTTTTCAATCAGTTTTAAAGGGTTACTGATGGAAGTTAGCACGAAATAATAACGTTGTAGTGTGGGTCAAACAGTCAACAAAAACATGTTGTTGCTTCTGCAAGGTGGAATTGGGGAGTCTGCATTAAGCCTGAGAATCTCAGTCCAGGAACTGAACTCACGGGTCTCCAGGAGCTGAAACTGAGTCAAAGTCATAACTTAATCTCAGTCCAAGAACTGAACTCACGGGTCTCCAGGAGCTGAAACTGAGTCAAAGTCATAACTTAATCTCAGTCCAGGAACTGAACTCACGGGTCTCCAGGAGCTAAAACTGAGTCAAAGTCATAACTTGCAACCCTCAGAAATTCCAATACTTTCCCTTGATAACAGTCAATTTTTGTACAGTTGGCCAATGTAAGGTTCAAATGACAGTGTACAGATTAGCTGCTTCTAAATTTCACCACTGTTTATCTCTCCATTACCTGGAAGCATGGCTTAGAGTGAATACGACGCTGATTGCTACGCTGTCGCATACGGTCCATGGCCTGGTCAACAATAGTAGTCTGCTCTGGGGTAGCCTGGGCCCAGTCTACGGTACCCTGCTTCTCTACTAGGAAGGACTCCAGGGGCGGGACTTGATTGGTGGGCGTCTTCTCCAAATCAGGCTCCACCTGAGTGAAAACTGGGCCCAGAAAAAAAGAAAGACAGTCTTGAGGTTCAGCGTGCCTTGAAATCAACACTATTGTTGGCACAATTGTATTGACTAAACCACTTTTTAACGGCAAAGATGCCTTTCAAACCATGCCTTTCAAATTTATCTGTGATCAGTATCTCAATAATCCCTTCCGTAGCCACACCATAAAAAGCATTTCAATAATAAAACATTAGTCAACAGTGTTTTAGTCAAGACCATCACAAGACCATGCACAAGACCAATCACAAGTAACAGTGTGAACAATGATACAGGAATGTTTTTGATGCAGTTCATTTAAATAGCTTGTGACTTGAATTCAGACTAGAGGTCTTGTGCTGGTCTTCTGTGGTCTTGTCTTAAGTGGTCTCGACTACAACACTGTTAGTCGAGAGCCTGTAAGAGAAATCCAAGAACATGTTGATCTTTACCTCAGCTTCAATGTGTCAAACCCAGTATGGAAACTGATGAATCCCAAATGACAGAAGCGCTTACCACTTTCAATGTCCTTCTCAAATTTCTTCCACTGGACGTGGAGCGGATTCTGAGGGTTAGTGTAGTAGTCACAGAGAGCCTTAGATTCTTCTCTGCTCAAGGTCTGTTGCCCCATGGCTGTCAGGCCCATGGTGAACTGGCTACGAGGAATAGAATGCTCTCGAAGGGGGTCAAAATCTTGAAAGTACTCGCAGACCTGTCAGAAAACAAGATAACAATCAGGTTGATGATTAGATCATCAAAAATCTAAGAGTTTTATTTATTGATTCTGACCCTGTTGTCATAAGATGTGATTGATAAATCTAAAACCAATGAGCTCCAGATGTTTATTGTCTTGACTTCATTTCTCCCCAGAAAGTACAAAGCTGGAGTAAAGTGCCTTGCCCTGTGCGTTTCCCTCTTCTTTGTGGCCATGCTACCTTTATCACTGACAAAGTACAGCAACTATGTGCCAGCACATGTGGCCTAGGTTAGAATCCCTGCTGTGTCAGTGAACACGTATATTTTTAATATCACATGTGATACGGAATCCAGCTGAGTGTTAAAAAGGACGAGTGTCTCACCCTGACTCTGTTAACTAAGACATCATGGCGGATTCTCTTCAACAACTCTGTGATATTGACGTTAGATGTATCGATGGGTTTCTGGTCATACGGTGTCCTGGGTCGTTCCTTCTCAACTGGATGATCAGAATCCATTGTAAAACCAATGAAGTCTGAGAAAACAATCAGAAAATTATTCTCAGTTCGGAAATGAATTCAAGTTTAAAGCTGATTTAGGAATATTGCTAAGAATAAGATAGAAATGTGAAAAAAGCAAAGAGAGGAATACTTATTGAAGTTTAATTAAAGTTTATATTCAGCAAAGACAGCTTATTGAAGGAGGGATCACAGTGTAATTTCTGGGATCATTTATTTACCTTTATCGATTGCTTGGACGAAGGCTGGATAGTTAACGTCACCTCCCCTGGGCTCTTCAAACTTACGGCAGAGCAGCTTGAAATCTTCTGATTCCACATTGATGCCCAAGAAATGCAAGATACGACGGAACTGGGATGGAGTGACGTTGCGTGTGTAGGCTTTGCTCTGGACAGAAAAGGCATCGTTAGGAAATGTGGTCAATTTTCGTCATTTTATAAAAAATGCAAATTTAAATGACATAATCAAAATGTCTTACATCTCTGTTTTTCCTCTTAATTTTGGAGAGTTTCATTTACAAGGTTAAAGGAAGGATGTTTAAAACTTTAAGAAAATACTTAAATCTGGGAGAAAAACTGTAAATTTTAAAGCAAGAATCGTGGGAACTCTGCTCAATCACAAGAAAATTTCTTGTTGGCCAAAAAAATTGAAAAAAAAAATTTTTTTGTAACTTCCAATACAGCACATGATAAAATATTCAAATTTTTTCTCTCATCTGTAGTTATACTTTGCACATCAGAGTCTCAAAACTCACTCGATCATAATCTTTGAAGTGAGGAAAGCACATGAGTCTTCGTCTCTGGACGGTGGACGCCAACTCATCAAGTATCTTAGCAACTCGAGCTTCTTCTTGTTGGTTGAGTGGGTTGAGTGAGCGGGACAGATGACCCTGAGGGGGGCGGTAGACACGAGTCTCTGGCTTCTTCTCCAGATGGGGTTCATTAAATGCTGTGGGTGAAACAAGACATAAAATTGATAGTAAATATTGTTGCACGCAGATGAAATCAAAGGAATAAGTAGTTATTAAATAAAATGAAGAACTTGAATCCTGTTCTAAAACTTTAGGAAATACACCGAGGCAAACTCAGGAGGCTTTTTCCAAGTTTAAATAAATTGAGAATAACACTGTAACCGTAAGGCCACAGTAAAAAAAATCATGTTATACATTTCATATAAGGGAAATCAACTGGCAAAATAATGCTGTAATAATGAACCCAAATAAATGGAACACGGTGACATGTATGCCTTCTCCAGATCTCGTCTTTGAAAAACATCCACGAAATTTGCTACCAATTTTTTTTACCATTTTCCATGAGGTGGCAGAATTCCTTGTATCTCACTCGGCTGTCTGGTTGCTTGTAATAGTCAGCAAGGCGTTGTACCTCCCCTCTGGTAAGCCCAGCCTCCTTGCCAACGCACAGCATCAGACCACACTGGAACTGGTTCTCTGTAATTATTCCACTGCGGAGTTTGTCGTGGTCACAGAAGAACTCTGTGGTCCGGATGCCATGTTTGTGGACTGCAATCTGTATTCGCTTGAAGAGCTCCTTCAGTTCATCATCAGCTTTCTCCTGATTGTGGATCAAACCAAACTTCTTGTACCAGAGTTTTTCAAGAACTTGAGAAAAGCCTTTTCAAGTGTTGTCTGTTCAGACTCACACTTACAACCTTCTGCTTGTTAGCGCAGATCTCTCACTCACTACAAAACTTGATAGGGTGAGTTTGCTGATGTGAGTCTGATACAGAGGCAAGTAACAAAATGGAGGGAAGCTGTTCCAAACAGGAGTCTAAACACGCTTAGTTTGACTGTTTTTGTTTTAGATAAGCACTGGGATATAACTCTGTGGTCAAAGACATAACTTGTGTCAAAGTGTTCTGCCTTTAACCCTACCAACCCAAAACAAATGTTCAGAAAATAAATATACAATGTATTACAGAAAACAAAACCTTAAAGATTCAGACAACCAGGTGAGACTCATATTATAAAAGCCCATCCAAATTCATTCTTATTTCGATAGATCAATGAGGCCAACTTACCACTCTGGGAATGTTGTAATTGTTTTCAGGCAATGGATCAAACAAATTCTCCACAAGTCTCTCCTTGGCTGCTTCCACATCATTGTGGAAGTTGAGATAGTTACAAAGATTAGAGGTGTTAGGGTCCAGGTAGCGACGAATCAAGAGATTTACTTCTTCATCCTCAAGGCCAGGTGGTCTAGGGAAACTCCTAGCAAACTGTGGGTTAAAAACATTTGGAAAGGAAAGTGACATAAAATGACATCTTTTATCACAAGCAAGAGGCAATTTAAACCGGTACACAATGCAAGTGACAGCAGCAGTGTAACTCTCAACAAGATAAAGAAACTGAGCCAGGCCTGTCATTTTCTGTGGGAATGATACTTTAAAAACATTCACGTGACAAAATTGACAATACACAAATTATCGGTTGTTTGCTCAGTCATTCTAACTACCTGGCTGTCAGTTACGGTGCCAATATGATGCCTATCAAAATCTGTGTAGCTGGAACTAATGTTGATGCCATGGTATTTGTAGTAAGGCGCAATTCTCTCAATGATGGTGTTGACCTTCTGCACGGATGCTGGACTAAGTGGACGGATGGAGCGAGTTGTACCCAGACTAAAGCAAGGAAAGAAATTCCTGCACTGTTATCCCTGCTCAACAGACTTATATGTACATGTACAATGATATCAGTACAGTGTTTAAAAGTTCCTTAGGAATGTTTTGATCTGGAATTCAACAGCTATGGGTGCAAGACTAACTTTATTTTAACATTTTTCCTTCACAAGCAACCAAACCAACCAATCAGTACTTGATAAAGAGAAACTTGTCGCAAAAAACCCACTGAATTTCATGGTGTAATATAAAGCCATGGACCAAATACTTACAATTCATCTGGTTCAATAGTCTGTGATTTTGGTTCAACTCTGAGGTTGTTTGGCTGAAAAGCTGTAAAAAAGAACAAAATTTAGTAATTGTAGACATTTTTGAAAGCAACTCCACCTTTCCCTTTCTTTCTTGCAAAAATGATGCAGGCTCAAGATTTGTGCTGCAAGGTAATTTTTTACGTTAAGAATCACCAATACGTCCTTCCAGCAACAAAAATTTTTATAGCTCCAGTTTTTTCACTTACTACACTCAATAACATCAGCAAATCTCTTGTAGTTGACCATGCCGTCCTTCTCCTTGAATTTCTCTATCAGCAATTCCTCTTCTGCCTCGGCCAAAATTGATGAAAAACCCTGATCCAGACATCTCTTGAACTGGGATGCTAATTAAAAAAATTAATAAAAAATTTAGGGCATATTTCCCTCTGCCATACATGTCAGCAGTTGAAAAGGCTTAAATTACAGAGGCATTTGGTACACCTTCTAAAACAGGGGAAAAAATGTTCACTGTTTGGTTTCCTTACCAAAAGAGTTTAAGTTAAACATCTGATCAAGAGACTACTCACCGGTGACACATCCACTCCGAAGATTGTCAAAATCCTTGAAGAATTCAGCCACTCTTACCCTCTTTGAAAGCATAAACTTCCGAATGCGATCTTCAATGCTATCCACCGCTGGTTCAGGCATGGTGACAATTAATTTGGATGACTGCTTAATTCAATATCTGGCATAATGTGAAAAGTTAAAATCCTCAAAACTTTTGTCATGGCATACAGAAAAATACCAACAATCAGACATGGAGGCCTAGACTTGTTTCACAAGTGATTTCATTATCTCTAGGCCTAGGTCTAATGAGAAATCCAAGGCCTACTTGATGAGTTGATTCTGTATCCCAGGCTGACATTACATGTAATTAATTATCTAACATTGACTGCTTAACAGAGACTGGTTTAAGTTTCATACTTCGCGACACTAAGGATAATTTACAAACTGTAACAAATGAATGGTCCGCCTAATCAATGCGGAATTACTGGACTGACTCCTATTTTTAATTGCTAACCCAGCGGCCGTGCAAAAAATTCCAACGAAGTACATGAAAATGTAAAAACTCTGACTCTCAGTGGACAGTGGAAACATGGAACTTCACGTACTACGTAGGAATGGTGGAAACAACTTTGCTGTTCACAACTCACAAACAGTGAAACAGCATTCGCATGCTCAACGTCAGCGTCGATACAATTACAAGTACTGAGATAAACAAGTTCTGATTGATTAAAAACGTACGCATATTAGAAGAAAGCAGCCTAGGCCTACCTTGATTCTTTTCAAAAGGCAACTTAAATTTCAACACGATCACTACGCTAGGCCTTTTTCGTGTCAGTCAGTAGGCCCTATCTCTTGACATTTTATTTATCAAGCGAACACATGTGCGTATCTAAGCAACAAAATTACTTTTGAACAAAAGAGGGCGCTATTTCAAAATGGGATAGAGGGCGCTTTTCTGTCCAAAAGATGCTCTTGGGTGGGAAAATAAGGTCGAGTTCGGGCGGCCTGTTCTTGACACGGGTTTCTTGTTCTCGCGCTCGAACGGTCCCGGGGAACACGACTCAAGAACACTGTTCTCGGAACAGGATCACACACCACCTCCTCGCCAGGGTTTTACAGGGACACACGGAAAAACTCGTGAGATTTGGATTTTTAAACAACTGCAAAAAGTAGAGACATGGCTTCATAGACAATGGGAAGTTTTGCAAAATTAACATTAATTGTTTTCCGTAACACAGAAACGAATGTTCCTGTTTACATAGAAAAGAATTCAGGCCATCCAAACATCAACGCTCGAATAACGTAGCCTACATGGACGCCGCCATGTTGCTTGCCACTAACTACCGTCGATAACCGATTGTTTGTTCCCGGCGTTCGAGCGGCCGACCCACGAACAACAAATCGAGCTGTTCGTGAACATACGGGAACAAGCCGCCCGAACTCGGCCTAAGAGGTATTGACCATTGATCTCCATAATATGAGATCTACGTGTCCATATGCACGAACAGTCCATCCGTGACGTCATTACACTCGGGCAGCCTCCAGTCTTAGTCCAGAGACCCGTTCGCTAGCCTAGTCCAGGAGCCAATTGGGGGTCAACCTAGCTAGAAAGTTAACCAATTTTTATGTATATGGCAATGGTCCACGTGCATCTCTGTATAAGAAAAGAGATGTCTGCCGACCACATTCTGGCGGGTGTGGTTAAAAGGGCCATGAGAAACGGACCCCAAATTGAGCTAGATCAGCTGGTGAGTTAACCCAATGTAACCTGCTGGGAAATGCTCAGTATGTTTGCAGGTATCCTGAATGCTATCCATCAGACATATTTGGTAGTGGGGTGTGCCCGCCAGACATACATAACCAGTACCCTAAAACCGAGCTAGATCCCCTCATGGAACTTTTTGGAAAATGTTCACTGGAGTCTCAGGTATTATATTATGATCGGCCACTACCAGACATTTTTTGTGGTGGGGCGTGTCCACCAGATATCTCTAAATGCCCCACCCCCCAAATTGGGGTAGTGGTGGCTGACACCAGGGCAGGCATGAAGATCGCGTGATGGCTAAACGAACGCTCTTGTGTAAGTTTGACTTACACGTGTAATCGAATGCACCCTTGACAGTGACCGAGTCGTTCGTGCAAGTCGTAATTGTCTGAATTAACTGGGCTTGAGGGCTAGGCTGTCAACCTCGACTCCATGGGCTGCGTGCGCGTTCCTTCACTAGCCCCTAGTCATGTAGAATACCATCATGACGCAGACTGGCTATACAGAATGAATTATATATACAGTACATGTACATTCATGTGAAGTCAATCGCGTGCGTATTTCAAAGCTGCACGCTCGTGCCCACGTATTCTCCTGCGGCTGCACGTCATGCATGTGTAAATCTTCGTTGGGGGTAAACACACTGCCTAAGGTCCTAATCTAAATATCCCAAATAGTGGGATATTTACGTTATACAATACCAGGGGTTTGATCGCACACTGCATGGTGGGAACCAACATGGCGCGGCAAGTACCTTCCCATGAGAACGAGGTTGAGCGGCCATAGCTTGAAGCGTGCGTGGATGCTATCCGCCTCGAGCTGAAGTGCATCCCCAAGCGGCAAAAGAAAAACAGATGGTTGTAAGTTTTCCAAGCAGGTTCTTGCATGCGTTCTGCGTGTATGCAAAGATCATACATTGAGGAATAAATTTGTTATGCGTACTCAGTGCGCTCCGCGTCAAACGCGTCATTGATCTCCATTACAAACGTGCGCCTATGCAGTGAGTACCAAAAAAGCACGCCCTCTTTTGTTCCGCTGGGAACAGATTATCTGGAACCACTTTAAAGGGTGCAGACCACTAATTCAAGTGAGAATTACTGGCCAGGTCATTAGCATTAAAAGTGCCCCCACAGTATCTTTTGAAAAAGGAGATTGTTTGGCCCCCAAAATGACGAGATTGTGTAAATCGTTGCCGGGATCAACTCCCTGGGTCTTTGAGCTTTCATATGAGAGCAGAAGGGCTAA